ATGGATATAAATATCAAGGATTCAAATGGCTGGACTCCACTGTTCGTGGCAGCTAGATATGGCCATGAGGCAGTGGTAAAGCTTCTGCTTGAAACAAAGACGGACATACATATCAAGGATTCATGGGGCCGGACCCCATTGTCCTGGGCAGCTGAGAAAGGCCATGAGGCAGTGGTAAAGCTTCTACTTGAAACTAAAAAGATGGATATAAATACTAAGGATTCAGAGGGCCGGACCCCATTATCCTTGGCAGCTGAGTATGGCCATGAGACAGTAATAAAGCTCCTGCTTGAAATGAAAAAGGTGGATATAAATACTAAGGATCCAGTGGACTTTACCCCATTGTCCTTCGCAGCCAGATATGGCTATGAGGCTGTGGTAAAGCTTCTTCTTGGAGCAAAAGCAGATATAAATATCAAGGATTCAAGGGGCCGGACCCCATTGTCCTGGGCAGCTGAGTATGGTCATGAGGCAGTGGTAAAGCTTCTGCTTGAAACAAAGGCGGACATAAATATTAAGGATTCATGGGGCCGGACCCCATTGTCCTTGGCAGCTTGGAATGGCCATGAGGCAGTGGTAAATCTTTTCCAAAGCTGCTAATGCCTACTTTCCTACAGAAGTGGTTCTTCTTAGGATATTCTCTAGTATTATTTCAATTCTGTTTGTTTCATTGATCACATAGAAATTGGGTAGTTATACTACCGTCTTATTGTACCTTCAAGATCTAAATCATCACTTCGTCGCTACCTTGTAAACGCAATAAGGGGATTAGTAGTTGACTATATAGAAGTTTATAAGCTCTCCGTTCCTAAAACATACCTATAGACATTCTGGTGTTCCTTGAGCTGGTTTTTAAAACCTAAACAGACCAAGTACAGTATTTATAAACCTCTGTAGTATAATATGAGGATCATCTCTGAGATAATGACAATTTCCACACTATACTTTCCCTGGGATATTACATCTACTGCCATTATCTATATGAATATATCAACACCCTCTATAACTAACCTAGACCTCATATCTTACAATCTAAATATTCTTCCTCCCAGCACTAAACACAGTATAACTAGTGAATGACCCCCCTCTCCAATATATTCTCTAGCAGCTACGCTATACATAAACATAAATCAGATACCCATAAACCATCTTCCGGCATGTAATATTACCACCGCTACCACACGATCCAAACCCCAGTACTACTCAGTAAAGTAGTACTTATCCATGTAAATACAATCCTCCACTCATCAATAATTACCAAATCCACTGCACGCCTTCAGGTTATTACCTCGTTTTCATTCAGTCAGAAGGATACATGATTAGGTAACCGTGTCAGTTGCATAATCACATGCTAAAGATCATAGCTATACATAATAGAGTTTATTCTAGAACTCTCATCGGTATGATTCATGTATTCTAGAACTGTGTACCTTGGGACTACTATGCTACATGTAGTATAGTATATGGATTCATATGGTTTGTGGAAGTCAACACTTGGAACGCTCTGACTTCTCGCTCTTGGGTCTCAGCCAGTATTCCTTTGGGCATGTATTACTAATTACTGGGAGTGTTGGATCCTATTGTTGCTACTATGAATTGATCGCGCTTGAATGGTATTGTCAGCAGAATCATATATTTCATTATGATGATTATAATAATACATTATCAATTTGATCTACCTAATATAGATAACTAGTCATCAGTAATACATATGACTTTGCCAATTTTAAACATGCAAAAACCCTACCAATCATATCACATCACAATCATAAGACAGGACTCTTAAATATGAAAAGGGCACGACGACGACAAATAGATAGTATGGTATCCTAGAAACGCAGAACAAGGTAAGGACCGCGTTGGGGGGTATAAGTCCGAAGACGCCGTGCACAGGTCAAGATTCAAGATAAGAAAAAACATTCATTAATCATTAGTGATGCCGTTCAAACTCCATACTCTCGGCGCGGGATTTCGGGGTATTGTCAATATCTCGCAAATGATACGCATCGTCCTCAGTGGGTAGGTCTTTGCCGGAGGGGATGTCACTGATATCAATGCCTAGGCTTGGGGCAATCCGTCGTACAATACTGTTGCATTGGCGGAAGGCACGTCGGGCGGCGGGATACTTGTAGGCCATGTGGTGCAGCCAGCGCAGGGCCTTCTTGGTCTCTCGGGATGTAGCTTCGATGTCTGCGGAGACTTGGTGCATAGGGTCGTTGGGAGATCTGGTGGGCCAGCTGGATAGGTGGAGAAGGATGGCTGTTGTTGCTTGCATGATGTAATGAAGAATGCACCACCAGGGGGTCATGGTAGTCAACCATGTGATGTCCGGGGTTTCCGGGATACAGCAGAGAAGGGACCGAGCTGAGCGGACGCATGTCAAAGCCATGGCAGTGTTGAAGTGTATGCGACTGCTGGAGTTGCGACGCGAGCCTTGCCGCGCCGACGGCGGAACTGCTGGGTCGGGGGATGGGTCGCCCGGCGCCAGTCCAGTATGTGTGAGGCACGGACGGCAAAGCGTGAGACGGGAACTGTAGTAACTCATGGCTAAGGAGATGCGTTCTCGCATCCAGGGAGCGTTACGGTCACTGGGTAGATCCAACTGGTCACCACTGCCGGAGGTAAAACGATAGGCTTCAGGGACCTTGCTGAGCCACATGTCGAGATTGAAGCTGAATCTTCGGATCCGCTGCTCTACCTGGCTGGCCCGCTCTCGGAGGCCTTGGATACTGTAGACTTTGTTGATGATCGCCTGGGTAATGGTGGCTAAATCCACGATACAGTGGAAGTATAGCGATGGGCTGGGTTCGCAGGACGGAAGCCAGCTTACATCGGCGCGTGATTCCTCATCCGACTGCAGGAGAGTTAGCTTCAGACGGGTCATGCGCAGGGAGGAGTCTTGGAGAAGAGGAAGGACGTCGGGTCTACCGAACGCTTCCTCTTCGTACGGAATCGGCAGTGGTGTGGCGCTCAGGCTTTCGCCCACGCAAGAGACCCGGCCGGTGATCGCAGTGAGGAGATGTTCCAGGAGAAATATTGACCACCACAGCCGAATGCGAGCCTCTTTGGCAGGATACTGCGTACGATCGTCTACGAAGCGTAGGTTGATTCCCAGGGACACGGCCGATCGGAAGGCCATACTGGAGAACTTGAATGCCCTGCAGTAGAATAAGTTTAGCAAGCGATTAGAACAAGCTCTCCCGGAGCCAGACTCACCTGTTTATTTGACACTTGCTGACAAAATAAAGCGCTACCAGAAATTCGACCTGGATTTGCTGAAGATCCGCATGCTCAAAGATGACGTTCTCGCTGAGAGTCAATTTGCGCGCCCGGTTCAAGTACACCAGATCATTGTAATCGCCGGTGTCTGGTCGGCCACTCGTGGCTTGGGTATACCGACATCCAATTGCAAAGATCATGTTCAGGATGGCTAGCCAACGCTGTGGGGGCTGGGCTGGCTGGCTGAAGAACTGTCGATACTGGGACACAAAGGCCGTCTTGCGGACGACATTGAATGACGGATGGACCGAGTCCATAAACGCAGTGAAAAACCGATTGGCCAAATCCTTTGGGGGAAGTGCGTATGGATCAACAGAGTCCATCAATGGAATACCGATGTCATCCAAGTAATAGCTCATTGCCGCCATCGCTGTTTCCTGCTTCTGCGGCGGCGCCATTGTGTGCCCGCCAGCCACCCCGTCCTCCATATCGGTAGAATCTTCCTTCTTCCGATTTCGACCTTTAGCTTCATCTTCAAGTTTCTGCATCCAAGCGACTTCCGAATTCTTCCCAAAGAAGCCCGTAGCCACCGTTTTCTCGCTGCGGTTCAAGTCTTCCTCAACTAAGTCGAGTGCCTCCAGCGAACCGATGGACGAAATCGAAGAATCGGAGTCGCCGCCATCGTCGGTAGGAGATGATATATCGGTGCCCTTTCAGATCAGCCATTGCAGTTAGATATATGTATCTATTGCCTAATGGAATGATCCACGTCAAGATCAAGGGAGGCTTATAAATCAGCAGACCAAAAGCTAGACGCAGAGACTTACCCTAAGGACTTTTCGGATGCGTCTGGCCGCATTCTCATCGACTTCCTTCTCCAGCTCTTGTAATAGGCGCTCATATTGTTCAACCTTCTTGCCTAGGAGCCCAAGTTGTTTCTGATCGCGGACACGCTTTACATCCACGAAGAAGCAGCTGACATTGTGATCAATGCACTGTCGACACACTGGCTTGCTTCCATCACACTTGATCTTCCGCTGTCGACATGGCTCGCAGGCTCTCGCCGAGCGCCGGCGTTGCGACTGGCTACTGGCGCTGGTCGTGCGGGGAATGGCGACTTTGGCAGCTGAGCCCGAGAGCTCACGGGATGACGACGATGAGGATTGATAGGGGTAAGGACCCGGTCGGTCCATGAACTGGGGCAAGGAATAGGGACGAAAGGCCGCAGGGGGTATCCCCGGACTCATCGAACCCCAAGACCACTCGTTGATGCCCCTCACGGCAGGATTCTCGGCATCGATTTGGAGGGGAGTTCCGTCGGCAGTTGCGACGCCAAAGGGATAGGATCCAGACGCGTCTTCCATCGCGAATCGGGGACGAAGAAAATAATACGAGCCATTAAGGAGATGGAGAGGAACAGAAGTCGCAGAGAAATTGGTTCAGCAGCCACAAAATCAGGGCGAAGGTTGCAAGTCACCTGCTGTGACGTCATTGACGTGGAGCTTGTCCCCTTCAATTGCTGCACGATGAAGGCAAAAAATAAAGTTGGAACGACTGAGTAACAGACTTTCCACCGGACCAGAGTTAGGCGGGAAAGGGGAGTTCATGCGATAAGTCATCTCTCGTTAATGTAGTACAGGAAATTATTTGCTGGCAGCACAGCGTACGGCGCCCGAGCGTCTCTCTCCCGCGGAAATCATAGCTGGCCCACGGAAACCAAAAAAGAAAAAGCATATTCTGAAAACGTAAGATGTTGCATACGTACGCCTCGTAACTGCCATGTGAAAAGATACAAAATCATTCTCCAGAATAGAGCTCGGAACGTGAGCGGCGACTCTTGTCAACAGCGCGGCCGCTCCGGCGCAATTTCATCCTTGCCCAAGCTCAAGCTCTCGTATCGATCGAGCATGTCGAAAAGACTGAACTCCCCATCCCAGGCTCCGCGGTAGCGTTCATCCATCTCCAGCTTCTGTAATCCTGCGGCATACTCATCCCACCGGGATGCCGATGCCGATTCTTCGTCAAACATCGCTTTGAGATCATCCGAGACCGCATTTGATTCTCGCAGCCGCCTGCCTTGCCCCTTGGCATGAACCGCCTGCCGAAAAATATGGAAGAGAGACCGACCCAATGGCGATCGACTAGCAATATTGGAGAAAGAGCTGGCGAGCGCAAGAAAGTCGGGGTCCAGCACGTCGAATGTCCCGGACTCCAGCAACGTGAAGAGCGCCAGGTTTATCGCATACATGGCAAAATGATGAGCACGACTGATGCCGTATTCTCGTCGGTGGAGGACTGTCAGGGCAGCTATTGCGCGCGCTGCAGATTGTACAATGCCTACAGTATTGTACTTGGGTAGGGGGCTTAGTCCCGGTGGGCTCTCGGGTGTTTTAGGTGCCTCGGAGTCAGGCGTATCTCTGGTCCGCCCGGTCCTGAAGGTGAAGATATTGATCACTAACGTATGGTAGCGCATTCTGTACCTGTCAGCAACCTTGACTTATCTGTAGCTGCCACGAAACATCTAAATGTTCGCTGGAAAATGTAGTCCTCACCTCAGCAAGATGATGTACGGTGGTGGCCTATGATACGGATCGAAGATATCCGGCAGCTTACTATACCAGCCACGCAGTCTTTCATACAGGGTTTCCTGGATCTGACGTAGGTGCTCGGCAGAGGCAGCGTTGGCGTCAATTCCAAAGAGCCGCTGTGAGACGTCTCGTGCAATTTCACACAGGTTGCATGACTCGTTAAAGTAGTGGCTCAAGTAGGACGGCTGAGCAGAGCGATGGGAGGGGTAAGGGTACCACAAACTCGAATCTTCGGCGCTGTACCGATTGGGCCGTTCGAGGTTGACCTTGTCAATCAGGCTGGGCCGTAGGAAATCGGCATGCACAACCCTGTCGGAAGTACCGTCAGTGGTTTCATTTCTGGGAAATAGTTCGTCTGATTAGCTCACGTGTCAATATAGAACAAGCCCCAGGCCGTCCGCTTGATCGAAATATCCATATCATCAGAGATCTGTCCTGGATTCAGACTAAACTTCCTTGGGCCGATGAGACCTAGAGATTCGCCGGTCCAAATGGCTTGGTGGAGCATCCGATAGCCGAGATCGTCTTCACCGGATAATGCATACCTTTGAACCGTCGTCAGTGAAGATGCATACAACTAATTTGATTGCTCAACCGCAACACGACCAACTTACCGTTCATGTAACAACAGTGTGCCTTGCAGATTAGCCAGACTGAGCTTCATGGGTCCTTCCTCTCTCAAACGCTCCGCTTCAGCGAGAAAATCGGCCCCTTTGGTCATTATATCCCCGGGTTCGACATAGGCTTCAGAGTAGTCTGAGAAGTGCTGCGAACAGGCATTTAGCTGACATTTCAATAACCCTCCACTAAGAAGACCAGAATACACACCCGGTTGGATGACAGATGTGGAATTCATGAACAAGAGATTAGAAGACCTACGCAAGCGTTCGTGAGCAGAGCGTTCACAAGGAATGGACTGCAAAATTCCGAATTGGTGTTACCCTTCCGCATATGCTTGAGGAAGACGTCTCGGTCGAGAAAGGCATGAAAGGGATAATCCCAGGTGAAGTAGAGGGACACCAGATGGGAGACGAGGTCAGCATCGCCGGTTACGGTGGTCCAGGGCTCTGCGGGGACCCTGTGAGGGACTTCGTTGCATAAGTAATGGATATCCATAACCTTGGGACGAAATGACGGCCCAGCTCCTTCGACATCGATCACCCGTCTAACCTGCTGTAGCTGCCTTCCCGCCGCGTCACTCACCTTGCTGCATCCCTCAATCCGACCCAGAATATCGTCGATATACGTGCGAATCTCCTCGGCCGTGGCATCCTTCCGGATGAATTCCAGCAGTTTCAGAGCATGTGACTGATCTTCTGCACGCATCACCTTCAAGAGATCATTCAGCATATCTCGGTGATAGCTCAGCTCATCAGCCGTACGCTTTGCCGCTACTCTTCGACGCTGATCAAGCGTCTCATCGAATATGCACTGTCGGTTAAATGCCCGACAGTTGTCACATGGTGCCGTTCCAGAGCACTGACAGGGGATTAGATACGAAGGTCAGCAGCTATCGTTTTGCCACTTTCACCCCAGTTTGTTTCTTTGTCGTCCTCACGGAATTCAAAAGTAAGCAAGCCGTACCTTCCGCTTGGACTTCTTACAAGCCAAACAAGCCATGGACACGCGTTTCTTCGAGACATCCGGAGAGGTCCGAAAGCTATCTCCAGGGGGGCTATCACCCGAAGGAAATCTGTCCGCGTTAGTAGGCGACGGACCGGGCGCCAACTGACGGTGCTGTTGACTGCCGAATTCAGTCATGTTGCATGTTCACAAAGAGACGAATGCAGTGAAACGTCATCAAGTGGTTCCCCTGAGAGGTGTGTGTGGGGGAAGGGTGGGGATGATTAGATAGAAAGAGTCTGTATGGCTAAACACCCATGACACGGAGTGGCGAACCAATATTAGTTGAATGACAGGGGAGAAAAGGCCCGTTGAGCAGGCACATGTCCCTACCCCTTTATTCTGCAATTTATCTACCTTCCAATGACGTAGATTAAACGAACACCACCTACGTTAGAGGCGTCAGGAAACCATGTCCAAGCAGTGGTGGAATACGGGGCGAGGCCTTGGACGGCGGCCGGGACCGCAGCCATCATGGTAAGACGGCCATCAGAATGGAAAACTATGAACGTTACAGCCGCGAGGATCTCGACTCAAGCAAGCCAACCCAGTGGAAAACCAACATGTAGCTAGATTTCCGCCAAAGCAAGTTGCAGGGGAAACAGATGGCAAGCTCAGAAACAAGGCAGCGGAAGCCCATTCCGGCGGATGGAGAGAGCCATCTGCACGTGATATTCCACCACGCCTTGCAATCAATGTTTACTCCTACGACATATGCACATCTCAAACCATTTAAACTCCAAAGGTGAATAATATGAATTGGACATTACGTACGGTGATATCTCCTAGCTAAACGCTGGCCCCCACACTCTGCAGTTTTCTTCTTTTTTCCTCCTGAGAAACCCCTTTTTGACCCAGCATTCCGGCGTCCAGGAGAGAAAAGAGGGCACAGAATGCTTCCCAATTAAAGAACACTAAACGACCAGAATAAATGGCCTTGGCGAAGAAGGAAGGATGCCTAAAATAGTAGATTTTCTGCACCCCGAAGTAGATGCCGCCATGACACGAATGCGCCTCTGCCAGAGACAGAGTCATAATCTGACCCCATCCCAAGCAGCGGCATGAACCCAGAAGACAAGTGACTCCGCTCAAACAGAAATTCTATCAAGCCCACCTAGCCAATTCGTGACTCGGTATCATCCCAGATGAGACAAAGGGGCAACGACGACCTTTTCGGAAGTAGGAATTAAGCGGCCGCCCATGAATGCACCAATCTAGTGTTCCAGAATGCGCAGGGATCCCTGCACAACGCAGTTCTCAAGCACGGAACCCGGAGGGATGTCAATGGTGCTGCCTTCCGTGGCAACAATGATGACAGTGCCCTTGAGCTGCACGTTGCGGCCCAGGTTGACGGCACCGGTGATGGTGAGGTGGTCCAGCTCAACGATGCGAGGGATGCTGGGGATGTGTTTCTGGAAGTCAGAGACCTTCTTGAAGTCGGAACCGAGCTTGATGACGGGGACACCACCGAAGCGGTTGGGGTCCATGACAAGCTGGCCGTGCTCCAGGCGGTACAGGTCAGACTTGACCAGCATCAGGTCGGAGCAGGTCTTGACGGGCAGGAAGCGGCGACGAGGAACGTTGACACCATGTCCGTTCTTGAAGTGGCGAATGGCAGCACCAACGGCGGTCTCCAGCTGGTAGATGGCCTGGTCGGCCTCACCCTTCTTGTCAGCAGGGATGGACTTCTCGTTAGCGATGATCTCCATCTCCAGCTCGTTCTCCTCCACCACACGCTTGATGGCACGGAGGCTCATCCAGATGTTGTTGGTGTTGAAGTACTTGAACTTCTTGATGGACTTGAACTCGTTGACGTGCTCCTTGGGCACCTGAGCGATTTCAAGCAGACGGGCCTTGCCCTCGTAGTCAATGATGGTACCACCCTTGACGTCAGCCTTGGTCTTGTCGGTCAACTCCATGATGTACTCAGCCTGGGTGTCAACCATGTGCTGGAGAATGCGGAGATCGACGACAGCACCCAGGTTGTCGGCGTTGGACAGGAAGATGTACTCGACACCACGCTCCAGGAGCTTGTCCAGGGTACCAGAGTTGTACAGGGACTCGAAAACGTCACCGTGACCGGGAGGGTACCAGTCCTGCAGGGGGGCGTCGAAGGACTTGGGGGCGGGAAGAAGAGAGTCCTTGATGATACGGGGGTAACGGGACTGGTTGAAGGTGATGATGTCGACGTTGTGGCCCTGGTACTTCTTGATGATCGACTGGGTGTCCTGGTCGGTGTTGAAAGAGTTCATCAGGACGAAGGGCACGTTGACGTTGAAGGTGCGGTTGAGGTGCTCAATCTGGCGGACGGACAGATCCAAGAAGGACATGCCCTCACGGACCTCAATGACGGACTTGGGGCCGACACAGCCCATGGAGGTACCCAGACCACCGTTGAGCTTGACGACAGCCAGCTTGTTCAGGAACTCAACGGAGGCCTCGCTGCCCAGATCATTGTAGTTGACGACCTGAGAAGGCTGGGGAGGGGCGATGCGGTCCCAGTTGACCTCGTTGCCCTTGGCCTTGTCGTTGAGGAATCTGCGGAAGAGGGCGAAGAAGTTGTCCATCTCAGCCTCGAAGCGCTTGCGCTCGGCGGCATCGGGAACGGTCTCGGCGAGGGCGTTCAGGGCATTGCGCATCTGAGAGGCAGCCACGCTAGTAGAGGCATTCTCGAAGGCCTGTTTCATGAAAATGGAGGTTAGAAGATATGATAACATAATAATTGCAGTTGCAGTGTCCTGTAGCCGCTGTATCCACGATGACCTCGGAAGGCGAATTCCTTTTCTCACCCACGTATATATCGAAGGAAATGCATCTTGCCAAATCAGGAACTGGGAGACGACTCCCAGGAGATAACGTGGATACACAACCATGCCCAAGCCAGGAGGAACAAAGACAAATTGACAACCCCATGACACAACTTGATGGAGAAGAATTCGCATAGAGTATGAGTACATAAAAAGCACGCCTGCAATCACTGGGACGAAGACACGCGGGGGATCAAACATCACGGCAGAAATGCTGAGAAGTCGACCATAGAACAAGAACATTGAGAAATACACCAAGGAGGTAGGTGGGGTAACGAGAGACATGCATTTATGGAACTTTGGCTCAGTGCCATCCTGCAAACCTATTGATATGCAGACATAGAGAATGACAAGCACCATGCATATGGTGCCAGCCAGACTATGTATGTCGGCGGCATAAGGTAGCAGATAATGACTCCCCAAAGCGACAGCCAGTCCAACGACAATATAAGGATAATATTCGTCCATGTTTGTGATAGTAGTCGCTATGTGCGGGAACGAGTGGCAGAGAGATGCAGAAGCGAAGAGCGCGAAAGCTCAGCTGATCCTCTAAGTCTGATCTGCCCAGGGCAATCGCACTCCTCTTCATGCCATCCTCAAAGCTGCTCCTGGCAGGCTTGAAGCCGTTCGTAGAAGGCGCGAGCGACAGGTTGGACCACGGGCAACGGTGCAACGAGGAAAGATCACACAGCGACAAGACTTACCATGTGAGACTGGGACTTTCCGTGGTGCTTGCCGAAGGAGGCAGCACTCGCGGAGTCGCTCGCGGGAGCTCTGAGGTGACTGGGCAAAGCCTTGGAAGCCATTGTATGAAGGAGATGTGGGTGTGGGAGGAAAGGTGTAAGGATGTAAACACGGGATTTGAGAGCGGGTAGCTAGTTACTGCTCACTTGAGACGGGAAGAAAAGTTAGTGAGATGTCAGAGAGCTTGAAAGAAGGGGAGCAGCTCGGGAAGTTCAGTGGAGAAGAAATAGGGGGTTGGTGGGAGAATGGAATTGGCCAGCAGGACAATTCTAAACACTGGCTGGGGGAGAGGGAGCGAGCTCGGAATGAGGGGTACGTGTGTATGCCAATTGCCACGTCCAAGCGAGTGACGATCGTTTCGGTCATGGGCAACGCTCTGGCGACAGGCCCATTGGTGCGACAACGGAGGGCAAACAATGGATCAGAGGGTAAGAAGAAGAAGAAGAAGATACACATACCAGACTAGATGGGAGCAGCAGCAAGATGAAGCGTGGTAGAGAGAAGGTGATGGAGGGGAAGATAGAGGAGGGGAGGGAAGGAAGGAAGAAGCAATTGAGGATAGATACAGGGAGTTTGGATGAAGAATGGTGGAAGGAAAGGGAAGAAAAAGAGAAGCCAGAGAGGAAGCCAGCAAGATGATAAGCAACGCGACGGGGGTCCCTCCCAAGGTATATTTAATTAATTACAACTACTACTCGATACTATTATTATTTTATTTTTATCTTAAATTATTCTAGACTTGGAGGGGGGGAAAAGATGGATGAGGGAAAGATTGGACACCTAAATCATAATGATAAATAATAATACGATGACGTTTGAAATCCATCCCATCTGCCTTCTTGGGAAAAGTAAAACAGAAAAAGAAAGTGGGGGGGCAAGCATCAACCCAGCAGGGGCTGCGTCAGGTACCGTTTGATACAGCGTCATAACCACGAACTTCTGGTATCAAGCGGGGCCACCGAGGGGAGAAATTACCGTACAAGACAGAAAGTCGGGACGGTGGGTGGGCAGCCCAACATTCCCACCCACAATTCCTTGGTAGGCCAGCCAGTAAGTTATTCTTAGCAGCTCTTTTTGGCCCGGAATCCGCCGTCTGGCCAGCAAGTGAAATGAATTACTTGATATCTGAGACCTTCGATCCTCTCCCTTTTTCGATAACCGGGCGTGAATCAGATCCCAAACCATGGTCATCTTCACACACACACAAATAATAATATGATCATTAATTCTTTTTCTTCCTTCTTCTTCTTTCTTCTGTATACTCAACTACATACATACATTACTGTCATATAAAATATGAAGAGGGGTAAAACTGCATTGACTACCTGCATAGCAACATGCCAAACCCGGGCCGATCGCAACGCAGCTCATCATCTGACAGTTGTTGGAATATCTCCCTTCCCTTCTAGACCACCCCCGTCAGTGCCCCCTTTTTCAGGGTTCAATAAATACTATTCAAAGCTGCCCCACAGTCCTCGTCACCGTAGTTGCTTGCCCCTCTTATGTTGGAGATTAACAAGCACACCTCCTGAAACAATAGCAGAATAGTTATCATATTTTTTACGCAGAGAAAGGCAGAAATCACAGATAGATAGAATACCTTGTAGGTTATTATTATTATTATTATAGTAGGTATGAAACTATCGGAAAACGTCCTGCCAAGTGTCCCTCTCTATCTCTCTCTGCCTTAGGATAATACACATCACAATCCCTCCTGCAAAAGCAGTCATGCCTAGCTACTACAAAGTATAACGTTCATTCAGACAGCAATAGAGAAATCCAATCCATGGAATGTCCATTGATCCACCCAACGAACCGCTGTCATTATTATTATCTACTACTTACTAGTAAGTTATGCCATCATGCAGCTATTCGTGTCATTCTTGCCACCCAATTTACCACCTACATATACCAAGTAGCTACTACCACCACCACTACTACTACTACTACCTACCAAAATGAGAACCGAAGTGAAACTAACTGAGAAACTTGACTTACCTTAGGCACATAGATAGTTACCCAATAAGTCTCATTTCATTTCTAATTATAATTCAGCTTTTACCCCCCCCTCCTCCTTTCTACCTTCTACCACTCTACCAACCTACTTTCCCCCTAATAACCCAGCTATCCAACTAACTAATAGAAGATATATCCCAAGTATAACAACCAGTCATGAACCCCCTTAATCACATTCCCAAAACTCAAGTCCCAGTATCTAATAGTGACTACTACTTAGTATACCATACTAAGTGGAGTATTCTCCGGACTACGCATCCCCGAAAGATGACTCGCGCCACGAAAGCTCAGACCATCCACACTAAAAACCAAGCTTGCATGTATGTATGTCTGGTTTCCTTGATGCAGTTGCGTACTAGCCTAGCAGTAGCTACCTATCTAGCAGAATAGCTCTGCAAGAGCATTTCCACTACTACTACTACCTTACCCTTCCGTCCCTCGAAGTCTCTAGCTCTACAGGAATTGAATCCACCGTATACATGTACATGTATGTATGTATGTATGTATGTCAGTCCAACCGAACCCAACACAGCACAATACCTATTACAACCAACACTACTCGGAATGATGAACTCATGTAGTAGTAAATAGTAAAAGCAAGATAGTATGAACACCTGGCAAACCCACAATCATTCCTACTCCTCCGAAGATGAACTAGAAGGGAGGTAAAAAAAAAAAATCTCGGCAAAGATCCGCCGCCACCTTTCGGAAAGGCCCGTAGGTAGTAAGGCCGAGACAACTACAAGACAGGAGGATATTTTAGTTTCTCTATCTATCTAGTGACTTGGCCAGATCGTAATCGAAGCGACTAGAAACATGCTAGCTAGACTAAATCCACTGACTAGCTAGCTAGCTAGCTGGCTGGGTATACACCAAGTTATCTATCTAGAATTCTAGATACATAGCAAGTTACTTTTATTAGTCGCCCTCAAGTAGGTTTTAGTTCCGAGGTGAGGTGGGATGGATGATGGAGTGGGGAGGGTGCCAGTTCACTCACCTCACTTCACTCAGGAGGGTAGGACTGACTGACTGAGGGGGGAAGGGCATAGTTGGGTTGAGGTCGAGACCCATCATATGTCTTACATCTTCAGCCCCTCCAATGATGCGAAGAGGCTCAAGCACCTGCTCTCCCCTCTTCCCTCTCTTCTGCTCGTGTCTGGAGTGTCGGTCAGGTTATTCCGTTGACTACAGGGGGGGGTATCGATAGCCGATCCAGCCACGATGCAACGGATACGATGGGCTCCTCTTGACTGGGCGGTGAATCGGGATAAAGTCTAAAGTCACACTACGACAGGACACAAGCCAAGGAACGCCCCTCAGGGTAATCTCGGGTCGATAATTATCTACATAGACTAGATACCCTACACTCAACTAAAACTATCGTAGCAAGAATTTTCCGATTGTCAGCCGCCCAATTCGGCGGTATCCAAGCAACACTACGCTAACTCGAACAAACCCCATGGATATCACATCTCATCTCGTCACGTTAAGCACAATCAAAAGAAAGAAAAAAAAGACAAGGTTGGAGGATCTTCAGGGGGAAACGACAATACAAATAACGAATTATTGTCAAAAAGTGGAAATAAAAATATACAGTGAAGTCGTCAATGGCATATAGTGGCGGATCAATCTGAATTAAGCTCCGCTGACACTCCGCTTGCTGAGGAAGCTGCGGCGGCCAGTCTTCTTAGAGTCTGGGCTGTCCATCACCTCGGAGGCTCCATCATTGTTGGAGTTAGCCGTGCCCGGGCGAAGGTTGGACTCAGACATTGCAAAACTGCTGCGCAGGGTAACAGTGCCAGTGCCAATCTTGACCTGCTTGTCTTGACCGGCCACAGAGCCCTGGTCATCCACGAAGAAGAGCGCCTCGCCCAGCTGCCCGTCCGAGCCAAAGGTGGAATGGTCAACCACCCGCACTTGGTATTGGGCATCGGCCGTGGTGTTGTGCACGCGGCACGTTTCATGTGACGGGTCATAGTAAACAGGACCTCCGCCGGACTTGATAGCCTTACTCTTCAGAACCTCCTTGGCGCCCTTGGGACCAACGGCCTTAATGAAGACTCGCACGTTGGCGTTGGGAGGGTATCCAGAGGCCGAAACGACCGAGATGGTGGCCGTTCCCGTCTCGCCCTTACCAGCAACTCCAAGTCGATCGCCGTAGTGAGACACAACGCTGCGGCTGCGGGAGTGCTGCAAGTTGTTGGTGGTCGCCGAGGCGGGTGGCGTCTCTCCTTCGACCAAAATGGCCGCAGGAGCGAGGGGAGCAGGGGTCTCCTCCTCGGCCTCGTGCACGCTGGACCCATCGTCTCCGCGGAACCGTCCCATGATGCCATTCTTCAAGAAAGAGGACCCTTCGTGCTTGAGGAAAGATGCACCCTTGATCACGTTGCCACCAACGAAGCCGACTCCCTTGACGGGGGCACCGACAATCTTGCCGGGAGCGGCGAAAGTACCAGCGAACGTAGACGATCCTTGACGTGACCGGACCACGTAGGAGGGCTTGAAGAGCAGCTTCAGGCGAATCGCACCCGACTTTCCGTCAAGCGGGAGACTAATCTCCTTCGACTCGAACGGTGTCAGCGAGGTAATGTCGACGTGCGTACCACCCAAGTAGTCTGCCTTGTCACCGAAGTCCCAGTCATACACATCAATCCGGCAAGTGCTGTTAATCCGAGATTTGATATCGGTCTCAACCATTTCGTTCCACGCCGGATGCAGCGTCTTCTTCTGCACCTTGGTCTTGAAGACTTCCTTGTCGTTGAGGCGGAACTTGCAGTACGGATCACTGAAGCCGTTCCGATCAGCGGACGGCAGATCGGCAGCATCCAAAAAGTGCACCACCAAGGTTCCCATGTTGTTGATACTCTCAGTCGGGTCGAGCTTCATGGTGACAGGAATATACCGGGCACTAACGGTAACCTTGCTCACTTCTCCCTGAGCGGAGCGGAGGGTAAGGTCCGTGGGAGTATACTGCTTCCTGTTAGCGGAATGGCAGTCAGTCAGGAGGGAAGAGGGGCTTTTACCAAGATGCGCTGCAGAGTGGTAAGAGTATCTCCCGTCAGCTTAGCAACCGTGTGGTCATCGCTCTCATCCTTGGTGTTGTTCTTGTCGATGATCCGGAGAGTGATCTTGGAGAATTCAAGTTCACGAACAAAGGCATCGCCAACTACAATGCCTCGTCAGCTGAGTATCAACAATAGTCTGGAACAGTTACGTACCGTCGTCAATCTTTGCCGTCTTGGTGCGGACCTTGGGCGAAGAGTAGGCAGGGAACATGTAATCATCCATGAGCACTTCCACCTGAACGTTGGGGCGAGAAAGCTGGACTTCATGCACGTTGAACACGATGAAACCAGATTCTGTGATGAGGTCAGTTAGAGAACAGAGTTGAAAGGACATCGAAGCAAACGCACCGTATTTGGTAAGATCCTCCGCAGAGATGTAGGTCTTGGGCACTTCCTTGATCGATTTGACCGACATTGTTTCCGAGTCCTTCGCAGTTTGCGGCCGAGTTCCGTTCGTGTCCAGGCTTGCGCGACTGCTTTGAGCCTCGGGAGTAACACCATTCGTAGAAGTTCCATTAAGAGCAGTGGTTGCCTTGGAGTCCACGCTGGCAGTCTTGGAGTGGCCGCCCACACGCTTGGAATCGGTGCTCTTCCGTGACAAGTCGGCCGCATCACCATTGAGATTCTCTTCCTCCTTCTCCTCATCCTCGGGGTTGACCACGGGAATGGCAGGATAGAATGCAACGGTGTAGTTCAAAGTACCCTTCTGAGAGCGGCCACTACGCAGGGGACTGGAAATGAGCTGCCTTTCATCATCAACCTCGTATCCGCCTTCCTCGTTCTCTCGGACGTAGTCGGAAACACGAAGGTCAACAGAACCCAGCGTACGGTCATCATTGATAGTTTCCTCATCCATGACCTCCAGAGTAACCTTCTCGTGGGGGCTGTGGACGGGAACGTAGACCACCTCGTCCCATTCGGGGTTAAGGTTATTCCTGAAAGTGACAGTCCGTGCTTTCTGGTAACCAGAGAGCAGCACCCTTGCGTACGGATCAGACGCGCCGAAGGCTTCCAAGTTACGGAGATCACTTGCACTCTTGAAGTGGAAACGCATAACACCAATGGGATCAACATAGCCGGAGCCTCCAGCAATTCCAGCCAGTGCAACAGGCTTCCAGTCCAAAAGGAGCTTGGCGCGGCCGGACTTAGCACCGTTGAGATGGAACCATTGCTGGCCCTTCTCCATCATCTTAAGCATGTCGTTCATCTTGATCTGATAGGTACCAATCACCGGGTCCCTGCCGAGGTCTCGATCATCCTTGATGACAAGACCGAGACGGGCACTCTTCCTGTCAGTGACCAGGAATTCCTTGGAGGCATTCTGGAAGATAGGGTTGTTCGTGCGCTTCAGCTTCTTCGTGATGTGGATTTCCTTGCCGTTCAACAGGAGGACACCGTAAGGGTTGAGCTGGCCAACCATACTCTTCGATGCGTCCAAGTCCTTAGCCTGCTCCACGGTGAAACGAGCGATACCGGTGTTCACTTCCGGAGGCGGTTGAGTCTGACCATTCTCAAGCTGGGTTCCCTCCAAGACAGGGAAGAACCGGATATCCGCATGAATCGCACCGCGAGATCTTCCGCTTGCCATGACTTCCAGGTAGATACCCTCGTGTTCCGGCTGCTGTTCGAGCCTCTCCAGAGGGAAGGTAGCAGCTCCCAATTCCTTGTCCTTGCGGAACTCGTTCCAATCATACGGGGTAATGGTCAAAGACTCGGCAAAAGACGTAATGATAACATAGATCGTTTCGTTCCACCTAGGGCTATCGGTATCGTTGATCGTCTTGGTGCGACCCAGTTCAACCCGATTGTTCAAAGAAACAACGGCATACGGATCAGGGGTACCGGCAAACGCGTCAGGGTTCTTGAGCTGGCGAGCACCATGCAGAGTGACAGCAACAACACCAATGGCTTGATCCATCGCGTTGCCAGCCAGCATCTTGGCGATCTCAACCGGGAAGACATTCGGAGCGTACATCATGGGGCGCAGATTGCTGTGGATCTGATCCTTGATGAAAGTCTCCAGACCAGGAATGAAGTTGATATCAAAACCGAGGGTATCACCACCAAGCGGTTTGCAGACATAGTCGATCTCGGGGGGTTCCATGAAGCACACATCCACTCGCTCGATGTGAGGGAACGGGATTTGCAGCTTAACCTTAACGCGCATCAAACCGGTGCAAGCCATGTCTTCGACGATCACATCGAGACCCTTGCTGACGAGACCTTTACCCAGTCTGACTTCCAGAACGACCTTGGGGTTAATCTTGTTCTTCAGCTGGCGGGCAGTCAAATCCATAGTGTCGTTGGGCGTGAAACTGAACTTCCAATCCATGATGACGGTGTCAACCTCGGTCTTGGGGTATGTCTTGACATGCTCCAAGCGCGGCGGCTTGGAACCGAGCACGAAAGTCTTCAGGCGCAGGTTGTCGATCATTGCTGGGGTGGAGGTACTCAGGACCTGGTCGACCGAGTTGATAATCGTATCACAAAGGACGGGGGCGTAGATGGGCCAGAACTTGACCAAAAAGCTGTTGATCCATTCCAGACTCTCGGTATCAGTTTCCAGGCGCTGCTTGGCCATTTCACGGTTCACATCGTCTCGGAAGTTGCGGCGGACCCGGCGAATGGACGTCCGGTAGTAGGTACTACAGGCGGCCATGACAATGAAGATCCAGGCCAGTCCTCCGCCTAGAACTGCGATGACCCATGACGAGAGACAGGCAAACACGATAACACCAGCGTTGTGGTACCAATCTAAGCAGCCAAGGTCAGTTTCCCCTCGAGCGGCAAAAGAGCTGCCGGATCTCCTCACCTCCGAAAAACTTATCATCCAGTCTTCCCTCCAGGAATGTCTGGTGATCCAACAGCGTGCCTTCTTCCTTTTCTTCCTGCGTTGGCTGGTGTTCAAACTGCGGGGCCCAACCGGTCCGGTCGCGCGCCCAGCGCATGTCTTCTTCGACCTGAGGTTCACCATTTGGAGCAGCCGAGGCTTCGTCGGCTTTTTCCTGCAGGAGGTCGGTGGCGGATCGCGGAGGGGGTAGATCGTACTGATCAGGGGTGCCGTCGTCCTAGAGTCGACCAAAAAAAAAGCTTAGCGATAGTTCTCTAGTGTAAAAAGCAGAGCATCCAAAGGCAGTAATTGGGGTGTGAAGCTTACCTTGTCGGTCACGACAGCCACACCCTTCGGTTTATGCTCATGATGAAAGCCCGGGGGGAGACGCTATATACCAGGAAAGCTCCGTCAGCTCACAGATGCACACGCGACACACGCCGTCAATCTCGGGGAAGAACCTACGGCTCTTGCTGCGGCAGCTTTGTCGTCCGGGGATGCATCGGGATCGAATTGATAGGCCGGAACGCCAGCCTTTCGGGTTTCCTCGACCAGAGCTTTTTCGACAGCTTCAGCTTGGAGGTTGGACTGGGGGTCCTGGGAAGCCTGCTGGGCGACCTCAATGGCGCCCTGCTGCTTCAATTCGGCCTTCCTGCCCTCTACGTCTTGCGACGCCATGGCTCTGAGGGGGGTGAGGGAGAGGGTGCGAGCCTCGGGTGAAAATTCACCTACTACAAATCCCCAACCGGTACAACCTGGATGATCCGGTCAATGGAACCTGCTTGTCCCCTATTCGTATGGTGGGTTGTGGTAGGTGAGGGGGAAAATAGCCAGGGGGAGGGGGGAGGGGAGGGGGGAAGTTCGAGAAATAAGAATGTGAGACAAACAAAAGTACTACAAAGGACAGACAGGGAGAGAAGAAAAAAAAGTGGATAAGGATAGAGAGGACTCGAGGGACCACGCCGAAGGAAGTGGATAGATTGTTGGCGCTTAGTGTTTGGATGGTTGCCTTGCCGTGGGACGGTGGAAGGCCTCCGCAGCGGGGAGGGTGGCTCAGGCACGGCAGCTCCGGGAAAGCTATGGATGGATGGGAGAAATGTCGGGGATGGTCGGGGGATGGAAAGGTAGGATGGGATAGGAGTAACTGAATGGGAAAGGAGTGTGGATTGGGAAGGGAAGCGGGATTACAAGCTTTACTTACCTGAAGGTTTAAAGCCGGATGATGGTTGGTGATGAGGGGAGGGAAATAATAGGGAAAGGGAGGGGGGAAAAGGAAAGATGCGACGTAGTGATGAGGAGGAAATGGGGGGGGAAAGAGAAGGGAAGGGGATACCGAGGACACAAACGAGAAGATGATCGATCGGGAAGAAGAGAGTGGATTGAGTTTCGCAAAAGTCACAGCAACTTTCTAGCCACTTGCGTCAGGGAAAAAGGAAAAGAATCGTGGCTGGTGAAGGCCACTTTGCTATTCTTGGTCGATCCAGACAAATTTAGACTCTTTCAACAATTGCGATTGCCCGGTGGATATATCATATCATATCATTATCACATCGTCTACTGTAGGGACTCGAAACGGTGACGGCTGCACGACCTAATGTCGGTACCACTCGGGATGCGAAACCTGGATTTATGGTGACACTTTTCATTTAATAATAAAAGTAATAATATCTGTGCGGCAGATGTGGCCATGACATCAAGAGCACCAAAAAAAGTAAAAGAGGAGTAAAAAAAAAAAAGAAGAGAGATCTTCGAGAAGGGAACGGCGCCGATCCCATCCAAGGCGACCAATTCTCGTGGAGGCAGCATCTGCATTCCTGTGAGCCCTTCTCCCCACATCCCCCCCTTCCAGATTCCCGGTACGCCGTCTCTCTCTCCTCCCTAACGATCAGGAGATCTCACACTATCTACGATGTACCACAGATTAAAAGTGGTCTGTTCCATTATTTCACACGAATCAATTGCAAAAGAAATAACCAAAGGAATTCTTCGGTTTTACCCAGCAAGTATCTACACGGACAACAAGGGTATCTGCGCCAGAGTGCACGATCCGAAACGCCATCTACCATGGATATCCTGTCAAGCAGCGGACCATCCCCGGCGCGATCGACTAGTGGGCGCCGGTCTGCGATCTATTGGCATTATGGATGTTGCCCTGCACCGCCACCGATTGGGATTTTCTCCTTCCCCCCTTCCTCTGTTCCGCCACAATTGCGGGTTCCTCTGCCTCTGATTTCCGAACTTCTCCTCCCCCTTCTCTCTCTCTCGCAGTTTCTTTCGGGCTTTGGTTTGGCTTCTTCGCTAGCCATCCTAGACCCGGAAATCTAACCCTCCCAGGGTTTAGTGTTGACCAGCTCATATCGACTACAGTCCAATTCCACGAGTCATGCTCGTTCTGATTTGTCAATTCTGGCCTGAGAATATTAACTGCAACTTTGGTTGGTAGCCCTAAGGTCCATATCACCCATACTACACCCCCTTTGGTAACTAGTAGATAGTATGGAAATCTAATAACCAATATCCAAAGAACGAGAATAGTACTAGTAGTAAAAGGACTAGGATTAAATCCTTCCAAGTTTACACTGCATGCGTAACCCCTTCCTAGTCAAGTATAACCTCCTTTATCATCATCATCGTTATCCCATGCAGTCAAAGTGGCAAGGTGTTGTTACACGTGGCATGCAGTGAACTGTCCATCCACCCATCCTTCCAAGGCTGCAACAATAATAAATCTGCAAGTATACACCATAATGCAGGCTACAGCAACTTCACAATTCATTCACACTTATTTTATTCTATTTTAGTTTTACTATTACAGTAAGCTAAAAATACAATTATAAATCAGGAACAAAAGAAAATAAAGGAATAAAAAAAATTGAAACAAACCCTGTACCCTGTCTACGCAATCATCGTAGATCCAATCTAATTTAAGGAAAATAAGAAAGAAGCAATCGGTTAGTTAAACTCTGACATGAGAGTGTTAACTGATCTGCAAAGTTCTCAACTCTCTTACAAAAGTAAGTTGTTGTCAGCCCGTGTCGGGAAATCCACCATCGGCCTATCTACTTGGCTGTAATGCAAATCTCACAACCACACATACAGAGAACACAGTGTTCAACATCCCACAGAAGAGTAGTACCTACAAAACAGCGATAATAGCATCCCTACGAATATCTCAGTACCAAACGAGATACCAACCCTAATCCACATCCCCAATCCACCAATTAACAAGCAAACAATCCGGAAATGACTTCCACATTTCAATTGAACTAACCACTTTGTACTAGCTACAGCTCAGCCCAGCAGCGGGTACGTGAAATCCTCACTCACCAGCCACACTCTCACTCTCACCTTTTCGGTACAACCAATCATACCTAGCAAAAGAAGAAAAGAGTGGGCAGACCGCCCCCGATCCCTGCCCAGTGAAAAGTACCACAGCAGGAACGAACAAACGGCACGGACCCAGACTTGATGGATGAATGGATGAGCGGAGAAAACAAATTTCAGATGCGAATTTGCCACAATGCAATCTCACTGCGGATTGTGCTACTACCTATGGAGTACACCTGACTAGGGACAAACGGACAGACAGACAGACAGGCAGGTAAATTCCCTTTCATGTCCGACTGGAGATAAAAGAGATACAGACTTACTTACAATCAAACAATCAACCCTTATAAACACCATCGATTTATCTGCTATCTACTTCTCCATGTGAGTTTCCCGAGAGAACTGAATGCTAGCTAGCTAGCTATCTTAAACCGATGACGACGCAACGAGTTAAATCCACCACCCAACACGAAACTCAAATTAAGTTATCCTTTTGAGGTTTAATTCACGAGTGGCTGGGAACTGGGAACTGAGGCTGGGTCCTCCGGAACGAACAGTGGGGTAAAGCTAGAAGAACTTACTAAATACTAACTTACCACTTATGTCCGAGGTTTCGCCTACCGCGGAATTCCCTACTCTCTGGATTTTCATGTGGAAAAGTATCCATGGGGATTGGAAGGTGGCTGGGGGAATAAGAGAAAGAGGTACGGAGTACCTTCGTGGTCACTATCTTATCTAAAAGTAGTACACTACAGTCAAACAGGGATATAATCGGTCGGAAGAGTCGGAACTGATACTTTACGGAGTTGTTATATCTGTCTTCGGCTTATGTCTTAACCAAGCAGTATATGTGGTGTGGTGTGGTGTGGCTGGCATGCGTGGAAAGAGGAAAGGAAGGCGTCGGGGATCGGGGATTACCCACACTATGTACGGAGTACTACCATTTAGTTTGCTGCTCTTGACTCTACAGGAACTGGTCACTGGAACGGATATCGGCTATCCGATTTGGATCTAGAGCCAGATCTGGATCCAGAAAAGGGCTGACTGCAATCTGATGTGGCTTTGCCGTAGTATTAAGCGAGGGGAGCGAGCAAGCATGTGGCGTGGCGGACTATTTTAGATCTCGGTCATCGCCGTCACCGTCTTCCTCTTAACTCCTAAGCTAGGGTAGGTTTAGTCTCTACGTTTGACCATTAAGTAATCAAATCTCATGAACGTTGTAGTATGCTGATATATAATCAATTCGGATGTCATCTCATGTCACTAGAAACACATGCATCGTAATCGCCGTAAAAAAAAAAAAAAACAAAGACATCAATTAAATCGCCGTGTCAATTCCGGTCCGCTTTTTCATTTGCATTACTAGGAATGTGTGGGCTTTCAGTTATATTGCTCGCTCCTCACCGTCCCAGGCGGATGACACCGGCCGCCATCAGCTTCTGGATCTTCATCCGCACCTGGGCGTTCTTCATGTGCTCCTGCAGAGCGGCAGGGTCGCTCTTGGCCTGTTGCAGAATGCTCTGCATGACAGGGTCTTGGAGGATGGACATGATCTAGGGAGAGTTAGTCGAGACAGCCTGGAAGCGCTTTAGTTGGTAGTCATGACTTACCTCGGGGTCGTTCTGGATTCTCTCCATGGTCTGCTGCTCGGTCTCGCCGGCACGGGCGCTGAACTGAGCCTCCAGGCACTTCTGCTGCTGCTGGTCGATCTCACGAGCGTGGGTACCATCGTCGTGCTCGGAAGCTTCCGTGCAGGCATCAAGAGCCTTGTTGTACTCCTTCATGGCAATCAGGGCCTGGGCCTTGCGCATGTAGGCGCGGATGAACTTGGGGTCGCGCTTGGTGGCCTCGTCGCAGTCCTGAACGGCCTGAGGGAAGGCCATCAGCTTGATGAGGGCGGCAGCCCGGTTGGAGAAGCCGCGGGGGTCCTGGGGCGCCCGCTTGACCATCTCAGTGAAGGCCTCGACGGCACCAGGCCAGTCCGCCTCCTGGAACTTCTTCTGACCCAGTTCACGGGCCTTCTCGGCCTCGGCGGGGTCAACGTAGGCCTCCTTCTCGGCCTTGTCCTTGGCCTTCTCGGCGTTGCGCAGCTTAGTCAGGACGTCGGGTGTGCGGTGCTCAGTGAGCGACTTGTGGTAGTACTCGATGGCCTGGGTAAGGTCGCCCAGCTTCTCGTGTGCAGTACCGATTCTTCCGAAAGCCCTGCAGACAACTGAGTTAGTAACCAGATCGGTAAATCGCACCCACAGGTGTCTTACTTGGCAAGAGCCTTGAAGTCAGCACGGAGCTCACGGCCCTCCTCGATGGCCTTCTGGCAGGTCTCGATGGCTCCCTGAAGGTCACCCTTCTCGAACTTGGCAGCACCAAGGTTGTTGAGGTACGTAATGTCCTTGTGCAGCTCCCAGGCCTTGTTGTAGTGCTCGATAGCCTCATCGAACTGCTTCTTCTTGTAGAAGTCGTTACCAATCTTCTTCTCGGCGTCAGCAGCTTCCTGGGCCTTCTTCTTTGCGATCGCCTCCTCGTCCTCGGGCTCGGGCTCGGGAGCCGGTTCAGGTTCCTTCTTCTTCTCAGCAGCGGCAGGGCGAGCATCGGGCATGGGCACATCCTCCTCAGCCTCGGGGGCAGCACCCGCAGAGCTAGCGCCCTCCGGGGGAGCACCGAAGCTCATGTCAATACCCAGCAACACACTCATAACCTGCAGGAAGCGAGGGTCCTGAATCTCCTGACCAACGCTGTTCGGGTTCTGCTGAATGCGCTGGAGCTTGGCCATGAAGTCGGCGTCGGCCAAGAGCGGGGAGGTCTTGGGGTTGCTGGCCAGCTTCTGATACATCTGGGGGTCGTTGAAGATGCCACCGAGTCCTCCCATAGGGTCGCCAGTAACACCGTCGGCCGTAGCCTCGGCCTCAATAGCCCTCTTGACGGCATTAAAACCGGTCTTGGCCTGTTCGTTGGTAGGCTCGAGCTTGAGGGCCTCCTCGTACGCATCGTGGGCAGCCACTAAAAACCAATTAGTAACCTAGATCCGGTCTCACCACAACACACCTCTTCGACTTACAGAGGTCGCCGAGACCACGGTAAGCGGCGCCCTTGCGGAGCCATCCCTTCGACCAGTCCGCCTTCAGATCCGTAGCCTTGTTGGCATCCTCGAGAGCCTTCTCGTATTGGGATTGCGCAGCGTAGACAGCCGAGCGGTTGGAGTAGAGAATGTGGTTTGAGGGTTCAATTTCGATAGCTTGGGTGAACTTCTCACTATAGGCCAATCAGCTGCGGTTCATGGCAGAGATCCCTCCCAGACCTTTTTGCAAGCGGGGTAAACCGGGGGGAGAGAGATACATACACTGCAGTAGCATAGTCCTTTGCGGAGAAGGCCTTGTTGCCCTCAGCTTTCAAAGCGTCAGCCATGCTGTATAACTTCCAAGGGGTATCTGATGTAGAAGAAAGAGGATGGAAGCGTGGTGGTGAGTTGGGGAATAAAGTGAGAGACGGGGGCAGCTGGACCGGGCAGATCAGTTTAAGCCGGAGCTTCTTCTCTTTTGCCGGGAGCTTCTCGAAATTTCCGAGAGACAGGGTTCCAGCCTGAGGCCACCATACAGCAGCTCATGAGGCAGTAAGGCATTTAAGGCTCTAAGGCAACACGGCAACAAGGCAGACACAGGCTGTCAAAGCTAGGACTGGCCCTAAACCCTTCCGGGCCAAAGTGACTCCCCCGCTAAACCCAAAGAGAAAGAAAAGCCGCCAAAAACATCTTCTTTTCGGCCTGCGAAACTCGATTCTCCCTCTCGACGACCGTCAACTTTGCGCCTGCTTTCCCTGCCAACTCCCCGGGCATCGCTTTGTCCCGGCTTCTGCAGCGACCGTCCGACCTGGGATGCATTCTTGATCATGCCCCTTCACGAGCCCGTCCGGTGATAGTTTCCTTTTAACGACTCCTCTACAATCGTCGTGGTGAAAATGGCCTCCGCGGGGGCGTCAGGCAGTTCGGTCAACGAACTGGCCTCTCGACTTTACGACGCCTGTCTTAACCAGTTCCCTTCCGATCATCTGTTCTATCAGCAAGATCTCCTGGGTCTGAACATTGTCCCCAAAAATGATCTCGCCCTTCTCTTGAACTGCACCCAGTCGCTCGTCGACCAGAAGCTCTTTCGGCTCCTCCAGGGCAAAAATGACCGCTTAGCCTGGAAGATTATTTCGCGCGATGATGCTGAAAAGTAGGATTATTCTTCTACCTATGAAATCAACATAGGAACTCTCACCCACTAACCCACCTGTTTAGACTTCGAGACCTAAGCCCCGACGAGAGTCTGGTCTACAATGTCATCCATTCGACAGGACGGTCCGGTATTTGGGTCCGCGCTATCGGCAACCGCACCAACCTTCACAAGTCCATACTCGATCGCTGCCTCAAGTCGCTGGAATCGAGAAGCTACATCAAGAGCGTCCACAATGTCAAATTCCCCAGCCGGAAGATGTACATGCTGGCGAACCTCGCCCCAAGTGAAGACGTGACTGGTGGAGCCTGGTTTACCGACGGAGTTTTGGACGAGAACTTCATCAACAGCGTCGCCGGCTTTATCGAATACTCCGTGAGCCGGAAGAGCTGGTACGAGGCCCCTTCCTCCTCGGACGGTCCTCGAAACAAGCGCATGAAGACCGCGGATGGAAGCCTAGCTGTCAAACAAGAGGGCGCTCCGAAGGAATACCTCCCCTTCCCAGCCGGGTATCAGGGCTACCCCACCATACCTATGCTGACAGCCGCCGTGAACGAGAGTGGCATCACACCGGTCCGTCTGGGTGAAGAGAGCATCACGCAGCTCCTGGAGATGCTCTGCTACGACAACAAGCTTGTATCCTTGAACAACGGCGAGTTCTACAAATCCGTCAAGAACCCCGAACAAGTCAAGTCTCAACAAGCGCGCAAGCCCCGGACCGACGACGCAGGCATCGACGACAGGCTAGTCAAGAACGGCATGACCGAAGCGCCCTGCGGCAACTGTCCAGTTTTCAAGCTCTGCGCTCCCGGCGGGGCTGTCAGTCCCGAGAGTTGCGAATACTTTGACCCCTGGCTAGAAAAGGCCCTCGGATTCTGATTCTCTCTTATTATCTACCTCACATCATTTCTACCTCTCATACTCGTTACACCTTATATCACACAATTCCTGTATACAATTAGCGCAGCATGCGCCAGATGATGTTTGTTTGCATAGCGATGGCGTTCACGTCTGATATTGGGATCGGCCATGGAACACGGTCTTCTTTTCTCAATGTGGGCAACTAAAAACAAAAGAATTTTCAAGGGCTTCTATATTTTTTCTGGGAAAGAAAAAGGACGGAAAAGCGAAGGGCAGTGGTGGGAAGGGATTGGATGGATGGCGGTTTGACAATTGCCTGGTGCTACTTACTAGCTATCTACTACTACTAACTAGTATTTTGGCTTCTTGTTGGACTGTTTTCTCCTGGTGTAGTATATAGTATCGGTTGTTCGGATGGGCTGCTGTGGCACATCACAATGAAAGAAGTATTACAACTACTGCCTATTAGTTGCTACTACTATTATAAAACTATTTTGAAAGTCGCAAGCATCCTGAATTGACTGGAAAGAAGAAAAATAAACGCCGTCATAACATCCTATATGGTCATTATAATACACACGCACGGAGAAAGAGAAAGAAGGGGGTATAACTATATAACCTAAGCCTGCAATTTCGCCGAACACTGCGGACAGAACCATTTTCCAACGGGTTCTCTCGTCAAGCCAACGCACTTCCAATGGAACCATTCAAACTCGCAATTGTCGTTATCGCACGCAACCATGTCTCCATGGCTAACACTGCGACACGTACAATAAACCTTGGTATCTTCATTGCCTTCGTCTTCTTCCTCGTCCTCCATGTCTTCGTCTCTTCTACCCTCGTCGGCGTTCTCGGAATCCGAGATATCAGCGCTGCTGAGCATGGAGTCGTCCTCGTCTTCGTCTCCTCCAGCAGCGGATGGGGATTGTTTGGTCCCGCTGACTTTGAGACGACCGCTTGCGCTGGAGGACCGCTTAGTGTGCTTTCCGTTGAGCCCGGAGGCTTTGATCTTCTTGACTTGTTGGTGCGGGGCCACTTTCTTGGTTAAGGCCTTTTTGGTTGAGGCTGTTGAACGCGGACCTGCGCTGCCGGCTCGACTTGATGCGGGAGTTCCGGCTTTGGGTGTACCAGGGCCGAGAGACGATTGTCGGAGGTTGGACGAGGCCGCAGGAAGTGTTCCCAGTGAAGCGTTAAGACGCCGGCGTTTGTTCTCCACCGCGCCGGCGGATGATTCTCGCTGTTGTCGTTGGAAGTGGATTGTTCCTGAGGGGGTTGCTGGCGCGGAGCTTCGCACAGCAGTCGGGGAGTTCAAGGCGAGTGCGGCGGCGTTTCGGCCCAGGGAATTCAGCTTCTGAGTGGCGCCTAATATGACATTGGCGTTTGCAGAGGCGCTATTGAGAGGAGACGGGAAGGAGGAGTTTTCGACGGTGGAATCGGGGAAGAAGATCTTGGGAGGGTCGCGATATTGGTCTTTGTTGTTGAAAAGGGAGGGGATGGGAGGGTCGTTCGAGAGCATGCCGTTACTTTGCAGCTTGTGGATTGCGATATCCAGTTTCCTAATATGTCGGTCTAGCAACACACACGCTTTCTCGCTCAGTTGGATCTTTTCATCCTGTAGCTGCTGAGACTTGTCGAGGTTCTGTATTATGGCCTTGCCGTATTGTTCTTCCTTCGGGTTGGGCGTTAAGCTGCCGTTTAATCGGATGAATTTCTGGAGACTGGTGTCGCGGGAGTTGATGGTCGTGCGGCATTCTTGGATGATCTTGTCCTTGGCCTGAATTTCTTCCATCAGATGGTTGATTTCAGCGGGAAGGTTCGCCACATCGTGAACGAACAGTTCCAGAACCGCCGCGGGATCGTCCTGGGCCTGCGACATCTTGCGCGTTCTCTGGTCGTTGTTCCCGATATGAATCGGGCCTTGATAATACCGCTATCGGGCGGCCTTCGGGCTGCGACCGGATGCGCGTTGAACAACGGGTAGAATGCGATGCAGCCCGCTGCAGGCTATTCGGTAACTCAACGCGATGTCGTCACGGATGGAATGGATGATGAATATGTACAGGCTGAGATGGTGGCGCTGAGAAACATTGATCGGGGATAACGACGGGACGCCGAAGGGAGCGACAGGATTGCCGGATCTAGAATGTTCCGGCCCCGGAGTATCAGCCACAGAAAACAGGCAAGCCACAGATGGGCGATCCCAACTGTCAGACCCAAAAGACGTTAACTCTTGGCTGTCAAAGCTTTTGTAGTAGGTTAACCAAGATTTGGAATGCTTGGATTTCGTTAACACAATCAATAATGTAGCTGACGGGTCTGTTATCCTCATGTTTATCAAAACCCAGCCATCTTCCAGCCACAGTCTCTATGCAAACGGGCGGGGTATTGCTGCCTTACAGCTCTGGCAGCCACTATGCTGTATAGTTTGTTCTCTGCTTCTGCCGGGAATTATGTCGCTCATCGCTTTGATTACTCTCCAGGTATACATATAATCCGTAGTAAATGACTAACTCGCGTCGTTATATTCATGCCATGTAGACTTGGCAAGATGGATGCATGTGCAATGCAGTCTAGACCCAGACGGAGGGGTTCCCCGAGGGGTTCCTGCGAGGATGGAAATGCGCATAACCAGCGCCACCCATGACATCCCTTCTCTAGAGTACTTCTTGCATTAACTCCAAGATTTCCTGTTCAAGTAAACCCAATTAATTCGGAGATCACAATATAGAAAAAAAGATGTGGGACGGCGATTTGCTGATGACGAAAGCCAGCGTGCAAACAGTGCAAACGGCGTCAGGCAGTCGGTGATTCCCCCGCGCAGAGACGCAATGGGAGATTTCTCTTCTGAGTACTTTCCTCCGAATTCGTCTACCTGCTTCTTCCTTATCTCGCACCTCTGGTCCCTGTCTTCAGGTCCCTCGCTTGGAATTCCTCTCTGCGCTCTATCCTTTGTTTTGCGGTGTGGTCCAAACTACCTCGTCATGGCTCAAAATAATACCCCTCCGCTCCCGGAGGGTATTTTCTCGTTGCTTGATACGGACCTGTACAAATTGACGATGCAATGCGCCGTCCTCAAGTACTTCCCAGATGTTTGTAAGGACTCGGTATAGCTCTCTCAAGCCTCGTGGTCCAGGCTAACGTTCCTCTCGAATGTAGATGTCACATATGGTTTCACAAATCGCACTCCGGATATGAAGTTAACGCGGGGTGCTTACAAATGGCTTTTGGCACAGTTAGATGGTATGTAAATCGATGGTGTGTCAGACGTCTGGACTAGTCTGACAATTAGCTTCATCAGCGCTTGCAAATATCCGAGTCACGAATGAAGAGATCGAGTTTCTCAAGAAATGGTGCCCGTACTTCAACCACGCTTACCTGGACTACCTGACCAACCTCAAGCTCAAGCCGTCAGAACAGATTGAGGTTCACTTCACGCCGGAGCAGGATACTGGCAGCGAAGATGATCTCGGCAACGTCAACTACGTCATCAAGGGTCTGTGGGTGGAAACGATCTTGTACGAGATCCCGCTGTTGGCTCTGACAAGTCAGGCCTACTTCATGTTCACCGATAAGGACTGGGACTACAGCTGTCAGGAGGACAAGGCGTTCCGGAAGGGATGTGCCTTGTTGGAGAATGGTTGCATATTTTCAGAATTCGGCTCTCGAAGACGGCGCGATTACCACACCCACGATCTGGTCATGCAGGGATTAATGCACGCTGCGGAAGAAGGAAAGAAGCAAGGATGGAAGGGAGTGTTTACCGGCACAAGTAACGTCCACTTCGCCATGAAGTATGGAGTGGCGCCTGTGGGCACTGTAGCCCATGAGTGGTACATGACTATCGCTGCCATCACGGACGACTACGAGAACGCGAACGAGATGGCCCTGCGCTACTGGCTTGGCTGCTTTGGTGAAGGAGTAAGTGCGCAGACCCTGGATCGTCCTGGCCCAAGTAACTAACGCACATCAGGTCCTGGGTGTTGCACTAACCGACACGTTTGGCACGCCTGCTTTCCTCGACGCGTTCCGCAAACCCATTCCTGCTTTCACCAGTGCAGGTGTTGGCGCAATCTCCACTACCGCCTCCGGACCCGGCACCACGACAGAATCAGCAGTACAGAGCGAGGCTACTACCAAACCCCCAATCGCGGCTCCTTTGGTCAACGATGCTCAAGGCGAGCACGCCAACAAGACCTACGCCCAGGTCTACACCGGTGTCCGCCAGGATTCTGGCGACCCCACGTACTTTGTGAAGATGGTGCGGGACTTCTACGACAGAGAGGGAGTCAAGGATCCGAAGACTATTGTTTTCTCCGACTCGTTAGACATCGAGCACTGTCTTGAATACAAGGTGATTGCCGAGGAAGCCGGCTTCAAACCTGTCTTCGGTGTCGGAACTTTCTTCACTAGTACGTTTTGCCCACATACCTGAACTATATGGAATTCTATCCCAGTGCCTTCAATAAGCCACGTCTAACATTATCCTCGCAGACGACTTCACGAACAAATCCGACGGCGCGAAATCCAAGCCGCTCAACATCGTCATCAAGATTGCCACCGCTAACGGCCGCCCAGCCGTCAAGCTCAGCGACAACATGGGCAAGAACACAGGTGACAAGGAGACCGTACAAAGTGTCAAGAAGAAGCTTGGCTACGTCGAGCACCAATGGGAAGAGGGCGATGAGAGCAACCGCTGGGCTCGCAAGTAGTGCGAGCCATCCATCAGACATATTCACTGATCTCATAACTATAGTCGGTTAAGACGCAGTCATCTAGATTCAGTTCCAACGATTTACGGATCGCATATTTGGTGGCTAATGTACAGGGCGAGCGACGAGTCTTTTCTTTTTCTTTCAGTCATGCTGAGCATCATTTTATATAGTAGTTAGTTATTCGGAGTACTAGTACTACCTAGATCACATGAGAATTAAGGGTTAAAAATTTTTGCAATACTATTTGTGTTGAATAGTATGATGTTTCCAAAAACCTCATTACTACCACTTGCATTCGGGAACAGTGCTCTATTTACAGGGTGCTGCCAGTGTCTGTACACTAAGCACCACTTCCGCAATATATATATATATTTACACGAACTAAAGAACATCACACCACACACAAGAACAGCCACCTCAGCTCCCTCTCACAACAACCTAAAAGATCTCCTCATCAGAAGGAACAAACCCCAAATCTCTATCTAAATCCCCTGTAATATCTCCAGTCACATGACTCATGGACCTCTGCCCCGGGGTACTCTCAACATTAGGAGTCGGAGCAAACGGTGAGAACAGATCATTATTATTGGTCAATGCATCCTCTGGACCCGGTCCGGTCCATCTAAGCAGCTCACTAGCCCAATCTATGTCGAGGTCTGGGGAGGCGTCGGGGTTGGAAGTAGAGGCGGGGTTGAGGTTGGTGGATGGTGGGTTTTGGGGCGGGAAATCGGCGGCGAAGGAGTCAAGGTCGAGATCAAAGTCAAAGGGGAACTGGTCGGAGCCTTGGTCGAAGGTGGGATTGGGTTGTGTTTGGGTGTTCCGGGGGGAGATGGTGGGGTTGTTGTCGTTGAGGAAGTTGGATATGGGGTCGTCGTCGAAGTCGTTGGGTGGGGTGGGTTCGGCTTTTTTGGGGAGGGGGTTGGAGGGATTGTTTGTGTTGTTGGTGGTGCTGGTGTTGTTGAAGATGGGGGGTGGGTTGATTGTGCTGGAGTGTCTTTTGGTTGGTGTGCGTTGTTGTTGTTGCTTGGTTGGACCGGCTGAATGTTGAGGTTCGGATTGCTTGTGGTTGTTGGTTGGGTCGGGTTCGTCTTGGGGAGGGGTCCAGTGGTTAGAGGTTCGGTCTTCTGCTGATGCTATGGTGTGTGGGTTTGAGATGGTGCTTGGTTTTCGTGCGTGTTCTTGTGATTGGCCCTGCGACATAGAACCGGAGTTGTTGGTGTATTGCATGATTCGGAGGAAGGTGTTTGCGCTATCGGACTGTAGCTTAACTGCCGCTTCGATGTTCGCGACCTCCATGTCTGCTGCAGGATAGATGTCTCTAAGGCCCTGCAGCACTTGTATGCAGCGTTGAAAGTTGTAGATGCTGGATTCTCGGGTGGCGGGATTGCCAGATGAGGAGTTTGTCAGATGGGCCACAGCGGCTGGGATGATAACGGTTACACCGGATTGTGGGAGAAATCGCGTGAGGTTGAGCTGATTGAGACCTTGGATGATATGGGTGATACCAACGGCGGCGTCATGCATCTTCGTTTGCGCAGCTTGAATCAACTCCCTGCGTGATTTTGACTGATCCTTGTTGGGCGTGAAGGCCCAGGGACGATGCAGTGCGCTTGTGGTAGCATGATACAGCATTCGTACCATGGCACCGTGGAGCAGAAGGACGTCTTCTCCGTCATGGAAGTTTGTTCTTGACGCAGGAATGAATTGGGCGTCTTTGGGTAGTGCACTCAGCCAGGACTCTAACCGCTGGCTGCACCGGGCCAATTCGGATTCCGATGCCTGCCGAGGGACTAGGCTAATGGTAGTTCGTGTCGTCACACCGAACTGACATTGTGATGGCGTATACTGGGCGAACAAAACCCGTCCGATGCACTGGCATAACTTGGCCTTTTCGATGAACATAGTCGCCAGGCGCTTTTGGTGAGTAACATCCTCCAGCTGACGACAACGAAACATCTCAATCACGCTAGGGTGGAACGACTCGAAGTCAAAGTCTTCCAGCTTCAACATGGGGACATTGCTTGTCCCTTCGTTTACCTGCGTCGGGCGTCTTAGCCCCATCGCAATAAGACGGTCTCGCGAGTATAGGCTCCACCATATTCGGGTCCTCAGCCTCTTAATCCTTGGATCCATGTTGGTCGACGACGAAGGGTCTCTGTTTAACCCGATCGAATGTGCATGTATATTGCAGACACCAATCCAGTCCCAAATATCTCTTTGCGGATTATTTTGATGATCAGACCAATAAGTCATAAGTAGGAGAGTCTGCAGTATAACTATTCGATCATCTTCGCAGTCAAGTGAGTAGAGGAGCTATATTGACTGGTTAGCTAAGTACACGGATGAATTATCAAGCGAGACATACCCTTAACCGCGTAAAAAACACATTACGGGCAATTTTCCGAGTGGCATACCCGGCGGCCTGTAAATGATGCAGATCGATGAAGGCTGTCGCCACGAACATCACTGCTTGAAACAGCAGGAGACTAATGTTACCATTGGGGTCATTTTCCGCGACGCATCGGAGGAATTCTTGTAGGTTCAACACCGGCATAAAGCTATGCACCCATTTGATATAGCATCGCAGTAGCTCATTCCGCAGACCACTCTCTGGGATCGACAAAGCCCCCCGGAATCGCAGAAACTCTAGGTCTTCCGGTGGGATGCGAGACGGGAGAGGCTTCAGAAAGCGCGGCTCATCGTCGAGGAGAGCAATAAGAGGGTCAAAGTCAGGGTCAATGAGATCCCGTACAGTCGAGACCATGTTTTCTAGTGGCAGCGAAGTCCGTACCCCACGATCTCCCAGAGTCCGCCAGCTCCGAGAGGGTCTGGAGTCTTGCAACCAAGGTGCATGAGCATTATGGCTCAGGCTGTTACTTCTCTTCGCCACTGGTCTATCGTCGCCCAAGTCCGCACTTGACGGCTTGCGTTTGGCGGTCAACATACTAGAGAATAAGCAAAGCCAACGGCATTTGCAGCTGCGCAGAAGATCACATTCAGCATAAGAGGGTCGGAATTTAGCAGTTGCCTATCGTTGCCGCGTCTTGCCGTCTGGGGTTGGTTGGTAATAGACAACCATGGACTATCTCCCCCCCGACACTAGAGAAGGCGGTGTTCGGGACCCGGCCGGATGTGGGGGCTTTTGCGGGCTTCCCCGCCAATTTGATATGAGAAATGCAGCCGCTTAAATAAGCGCTTGTATAAGAGAGAGTTTATTCGCTGATACGCTGGGGTTGTTGGTTCTTGAGTGGAGCGGTGTTGAGTGGAAAATATTCGCTGTCCAGAACTTCGTCTTAGTGCCGCGGCGGTCACGATGCGATCTTGTTGCCTCAGGCAGATGGCCACTCACTGGTGTCGTTCCTCTTAAGTACATTCTACAGGGCCACTATGAGGCTTCTCTTTATCCTTTCATAGCATTGCACTCTGCACAGGAGAGGAGCTCACCTCGCCGGCGAAATGTTGCCGGATATCCCGTCAATTGATGGACTCGACTGAAAAAATACATCTTTGTTCGAGTATTTGTGCTCGTTATACGGTGCAGTTGCACTCATGTGCCAAGTTCTTCATTCGAAAGCCATGACTTTACGCTGTAACCACTACTACTGACTGTTTGATCGGCACTCATGTCCCGATTCACAGACGTATCCATCTACAAGGGCCTGAATTACCTGACCAGCGATGAGACATGAAGAGATAAGGCAACTACAAAACAGATGCCCTAGAAAGCATATGCAATTATGCGGAGGAGAGACCGGGAAGTGTTCCGGAGATCATATCTATTCCAACGCCACATAATGTTGGTCCTTCACGGACCCGGATGACAAGCCCAGCCACATAACGTTGAAGCCCATATATGCCCATGAAGCACACAGTATAATACACGTATTCATTAGAATCGAATTTAGAGGAAGAAGGATGAAAAAATGTCCGCGTATCGTAATCGACATCGACAACACTTCGAGACAGCCGACAATTTCATATCACAGTGACATGCGAACGAACGGGCGAGAATCCGTTTACATACTTCTTCCGTCAGTAATTGTTTTGATAATGCCGAAATTTATTGCAGTGACTGCGATGGATGGGATCGTGTCTCAACTTACGGAGGAAGGAGGAGCTCGCTGAGGCTGCTGTAGAGGAAAGCGACGCCGGCCTGTAGACACATTCATATTAGATCATCCTTGACATTTCACGGTCTGTACAGATCGCTCAAGAATCGCAGGACTTACGCCGAAGACCAGAACGCTTCTCACAATGGTGGCATTCTCGGGGTGGGTGACTTCGTCATAGGCAGTGCTGAAGAAGCTCTTCTGCTGACGGCCAGAGACGACACGCTGTCTGGGAACCATTTTGTAGATGTATTATATGTGTAGGATAGGCAATGTCCTTGAGATGCAAAGGTGTGTTGACGGCAAGAATGACGATGTTCGATGGCAGGGTGAGGCCGGGAATGATGAGAACTCCGAGAAATCTTTCGGTCCTTGGCGGCTGCACTTTTAGCTTATCGCGGTTCCCGTATCTTCTTCGGACCTGGTGCGCGACCAAATGATCGAGGAGAAGTCCGCAAAAAGGGATCTATAACAATCAATTCAGAGGCGTTATTCTCTTCTCCAGAGTCGCCTTTTTCTGCTTTGTTGATTCTTATTCAAATCTGTGTTGGTGGTTGGGTCTGAAGTGCTTCTTCCGGTCTGCCTCTCAAGCTGCGCAAGCCGCAACCATGACGAGCATCGATGAGCTCTTCAAAGTAAGCTATCTATGAAGTGACCTATCCTAGTAACGCTGACGAGTTAGAAACCCTCTTCGGCAGCAAGTGCCAAGCGCAAACTAGATTCCGCGAAAGACCCGAGTGCGTTCCTCCCCTTTACATTCCTTTCAACTTGACGGCGGCTGACTTGCGACCAAGACGAGCTCTACAAAGCGGCTAAACTAGATGTGGATGGTGATGTGAAATCAAAAGGAAAGGCGCCTATGGTAGAGGATGAGGGCGAGGAGGATGATGGCTACGCGGGTCCCGAATTACCTCCCGATTTCGCCGCCGAGGATATCCCTGATGACGAAGAAGGACGCTTCTTCGGCGGCGGCATGGAGCGTCAAACCGCGGAGGCTATGCAATATATTGATCAGCATGAGGAAGCAGATGTTGCGGTAAGGAGATCATACTCGTTGTGCTTCATGGCATCATTTGCTGAAGTAGCTTTAGCCAGAGAAGTTCGACGTTACCTGGTTGCGACGATTCGCCCTCAACTTCGAAAAGAAGATTTCAAAGAACGCCGAACTCCGCGGCAAGTTTGAAAACGATCCTCAAAAGTAAGTGTTGTCAAAGCAACCCAGATTATTTTATTGATCCAATATGCTGATATGCCTAGATTCATGGCTTCGGAAGCAGATCTCGATACCGAAATCAAGAGCCTCTCTATACTCTCCGAGAATCCATATTTATATAGCGAATTTGCAAAGCTGGGCTGCGTCGGCTCGCTTATGTCTCTGCTATCGCATGAGAATGCCGATATTGCAATTGATGTGATTCAAATCATTGGCGAGTTGACGGACGAAGATGTGGAGGCCGAACAAGATCAATGGGACAGTCTGGTGAACGCAATGGTATACCTGCCTCCAAATTGTTATTGAACGAATACTTACTAGTGCAGTTGGATGCCGAACTTATCGAGCTCTTGGCGCAAAACCTTTCGCGACTCGACGAAGAATCCGAGGTCGACAGGGCAGGCGTGTACTACGTACTAAGTGAGTTATCCCAGACAAGGCACGCGATAGGTATACTGACTCCTTTGGAGACGTTTTGGAAAATATCGCATCACAGACGTCTATCGCAGAGAAGATTGGGCAAGACCCCAACCTGTTACCCTGGCTTATCGCTCGGATACAAAAGAAGGAGAGGCCAGTGTCCCAAAATCAACAATATGCAGCAGAGATACTCGCCATTCTACTACAATCCACTCCTAAGAACAGAGAGAAGGTCGTTAGCCTGGATGGCGTTGAAGCTCTCCTGCAATTGCTCAGTGCATACCGCAAGCGTGATCCCGAGAAAGATTCTGACGAAGAAGAATATGTGGAAAACTTGTTCGGCAGCTTGAACTACATCGTGAATGAGGACTACGGGAAGGATAAGTTCCTGGAAGCTGAGGGTGTCGAGCTTGCGCAAATCATGTTGAAGGAGGGTAAGTTCAGCAAGCAACGAGCTTTACGACTCCTTGACCATGCCTTAGGAGGCATGGCAGGCGCTCCTGCATGTGAACGCTTTGTGGAAGCAGCATGCTTGAGTACAGTATTCGGAATGTTCAAGAAGAAGGTATGCACTCAGAGTATGAAGAAATCACGGGCTGGCGTTAATATCTTATAGCAAGACAATGAGACGACGGAGCATCTGCTGGGCATTTTCGCTTCGCTGCTGCGTTTACTTCCGGGCGGTTCTGCGCCGCGGATCCGTACACTGGCTAAATTCATGGAGAAGGACTATGAGAAGATCGAAAAGCTCATAAAGTTACGGCGGGATTACGTCCAGAGAGTGACACCGGTCGAGCAAGCTATCGAGAAAGAACGAAAGAACTTCACGGAAGAGGAGCAAGAGATTATGGCGGCCGAGTGGCTGTCCAGGCGATTTGATGCCGGTCTTTTCTCTTTACAGGTTTGCTCCTCCGGCATATCCCGTGGCTGCAGTATGTACTAACAGTTGCCTAAAGCTTATCGATGTTATTTTGGCCTGGTTGGTGGCCGAAGATGACGGAGCGAAACAGAAGATTGTGTCCCTTCTGGCTGACCGCGACGAAGATTTGTCACTGATTCGACGAACCTTACAGGGTAAGTTCCAAGCACCTAAGGGTTCTATACCTTCTGAATCCCGTGCTAATTGAATGAACAGAGCAAGTGGAGGGGCTCTCCGAGGATGACCCCGGCGAGAAGGATAGTAAGGAGATGCTGGAGACGCTTCTGCAGTTCCTGTAATTTATCATGTATAATAATATATACTCAGCCAATGCTCTGCATATTCCGGCCACTGATACGTTTCGTAAATTATTGCAGTCGTAGTTAATGTGAGTGAGAAGTGAAGCTATCATCATTTGTTAATGGAATATATCTCACGTGATCTACAAATCTGGACTAGCTCACAGCTTAGCGCCAGAAGGCGGTCGAGGCTAGTGGCGGCTCTTTCCAAGGCAAGATCCATCAGCGCCCGGAGAGAGTCGAAGCACCCCAGCTGCTCCCTTCACCAGCATCACCGGTGGCCTGGGATCTCTCTTTCTTCCATCCATCTGAGGCTTCCGGCTTAGTGGCCTCACCTGTTTCATTCACGACGATTGCTTCGGTGCATTCAACTTACGCCAGTCGTCCAACCACCTCGAGTGGGATCTTTTCCGCCGAGCGCGTCGCGCCCTTTGCGCTCATTGTCCTATCGACTGCGGTTTTTCATTGCGTTTACGACCCATATCCGCCAAGATGGCCGACTACGAAGATGCTTACGAGGATGAGTACTACGATGATATGGACGAGGGCATCACCTCGGAGGATTGCTGGACGGTCATTTCGTCTTTCTTCGACACCAAGGGTCTAGTGTCACAACAACTGGACTCTTTCGATGAATTTATCTCGTCGACAATGCAAGAGCTGGTGGAGGAACAAGGCCAAGTAACACTCGACCAAACTCTCCCTCCCTCCGAAGATGAAGTCGATCCCGTGGTTGTCCGCCGATACGAGCTGAAGTTTGGAACCGTCATGCTCTCTCGACCGTCCGTTACTGAGGGTGATGGTGCGACCACTATCATGTTGCCCCAGGAGGCTCGCCTGCGTAATCTTACATACGCTAGTCCCCTTTATCTCGGTGTTACGAAGAAGATTATGGAAGGTCGCGAACGTCTGGTCGCCGACCGAGATGATGATGATATGGCTGAATCGACTGAGGATAAAAAAGCTCACGGGACTTACCTGCAGTGGGAGCAGAAGGAGCTCCCTGCTGACCAGGCTAAGGAGGAGACCGTTTTCATTGGAAAGATGCCAATCATGCTCAAGTCCAAGTACTGTATCCTCAAGGACTTGAGCGAGCAAGCTCTTTACAACTGGAACGAGTGCCCTTACGACTCTGGTGGTTATTTCATCATTAACGGAAGTGAAAAGGTGTTGATCGCCCAAGAGCGCAGTGCTGGAAACACGGTTCAAGTCTTCAAGAAGGCACCACCTAGTCCCACGCCCTATGTCGCGGAAATTCGGAGTGCCGTCGAGAAGGGATCAAGACTCCTTTCTCAGTTGTCCCTGAAGCTGTTTGCCAAGGGTGACAGTGCCAAGGGTGGATTTGGTCCTACGATTCGGTCGACTTTGCCTTACGTGAAGACCGACATCCCCATCGTCGTTGTGTTCAGAGCCCTTGGTGTGGTTTCTGATGAGGATATCCTGAACCACATTTGCTACGACCGGAATGACACGCCGATGTTGGAGATGCTGAAGCCTTGTATTGAGGAAGGTTTCGTTATTCAGGACCGTGAGGTGGCGCTGGATTTCATTGCCAAGCGTGGATCGTCTCAGTCTAGTATGAACCACGAGCGTCGTGTCAGATACGCACGCGAAATCATGCAGAAGGAGTTCCTTCCCCACATCTCTCAGAGCGAAGGTAGCGAGACCCGCAAAGCTTTCTTCCTGGGTTACATGGTACACAGGCTCCTGCAGTGTGCTTTGGGCCGTCGGGATGTCGATGATCGTGACCACTTCGGTAAGAAGCGTCTCGACTTGGCTGGTCCTCTTCTTGCAAATCTTTTCCGAGTTCTGTTCACTCGTGTCACCCGTGACCTTCAGCGGTACGTCCAGAGATGCGTGGAGACGAACAGGGAGATCTACTTGAACATTGGTATCAAGGCCAGCACCTTGACAGGAGGTCTGAAGTACGCTCTTGCCACGGGTAACTGGGGAGAGCAGAAGAAGGCAGCCAGCGCCAAGGCTGGTGTATCTCAAGTGCTCAGTCGTTACACCTACGCCTCTACGTTGTCCCACCTTCGTCGTACCAATACACCAATTGGCCGTGACGGTAAGATCGCCAAACCTCGTCAGCTCCACAACACCCATTGGGGTCTGGTCTGTCCAGCTGAAACCCCTGAGGGTCAAGCTTGTGGTCTGGTCAAGAACTTGGCGCTCATGTGCTACATCACTGTTGGTACGCCTAGTGAGCCCATTATTGATTTCATGATTCAACGCAACATGGAAGTGCTTGAAGAATTCGAGCCGCAGGTGACGCCAAATGCGACCAAGGTGTTTGTCAACGGTGTCTGGGTGGGTATTCATAGAGATCCCGCGCATCTGGTGAACACCATGCTCTCTCTCCGTCGCCGGAACATGATCTCGCACGAGGTCAGTTTGATTCGCGATATTCGTGAGCGAGAGTTCAAGATCTTTACCGATGCTGGACGTGTGTGTCGACCACTGTTCGTCGTCGACAATGATCCCAAGAGCGAGAACTGCGGCTCGCTGGTACTCAATAAGGAACACATCCGCAAACTGGAGCAAGACAAGGATTTGCCCCCCGATCTGGATCCAGAAGATCGCAGGGAGCGCTACTTCGGTTGGGATGGTTTGGTGAAGTCTGGTGTCGTCGAGTACGTCGACGCCGAGGAGGAGGAGACGATCATGATTGTGATGACACCGGAGGATCTGGAGATCTCGAAGCAACTTCAGGCCGGTTATGCCCTTCCCGAAGAAGAGCTGCACGATCCCAACAAGCGTGTCCGTTCCATTCTGAGTCAAAAGGCTCACACCTGGACACACTGCGAGATTCACCCCAGTATGATCCTGGGTGTCTGCGCCAGTATCATTCCTTTCCCCGACCACAACCAGTCTCCTCGTAACACCTACCAGTCTGCCATGGGTAAACAAGCTATGGGTGTGTTCCTGACGAACTTTGACCAGCGCATGGAAACCATGGCCAACATTCTGTATTACCCGCAGAAGCCTCTGGCGACAACACGGTCTATGGAATTCTTGCGGTTCCGTGAGCTTCCTGCCGGCCAGAACGCCATTGTTGCTATTGCCTGTTATTCCGGTTACAACCAGGAAGATTCGGTTATTATGAACCAGAGCAGCATTGACCGTGGTCTTTTCCGCAGTCTGTTCTACCGTACATACACCGACAGCGAGAAGATGGTCGGACTCACGGTTGTTGAACGCTTCGAGAAGCCTATGAGATCGGACACGATCGGTATGAGAAAGGGTACCTACGACAAGCTTGACGAGGACGGTATCATTGCTCCTGGTGTTCGTGTATCCGGTGAGGATATCATCATCGGTAAGACGGCGCCATTGGCACCCGAAGCGGAGGAACTTGGTCAACGTACCAAGGCCCACACCAAGCTGGATGTGTCGACTCCTCTCAGAAGTACGGAGAACGGTATCGTGGACCAGGTCTTGGTGTCTACGAGCAACGATGACCTGAAGTTTGTGAAGGTGCGCATGAGGACGACCAAGATTCCCCAGATTGGAGACAAGTTCGCTTCGCGTCACGGACAGAAGGGTACCATCGGTATCACATACCGTCAGGAAGACATGCCTTTCACTCGGGAGGGTGTGTGCCCCGACTTGATCATCAACCCTCACGCCATTCCGTCCCGTATGACAATCGCGCACTTGATCGAGTGTCAACTCAGTAAAGTGTCATCGCTGCGTGGATTTGAGGGAGATGCGACGCCATTCACTGACGTTACGGTCGACTCGATCTCTCGTCTCCTGCGGGAGCACGGATACCAGTCCCGTGGCTTTGAGGTGATGTACAACGGACACACTGGACGCAAGCTGGTTGCGCAGGTCTTCCTGGGACCGACGTACTACCAGCGTCTGCGCCACATGGTCGACGATAAGATCCACGCCCGTGCGCGTGGACCGACTCAGATCTTGACGCGACAGCCGGTGGAAGGTCGTGCTCGTGACGGTGGTCTCCGATTCGGAGAGATGGAACGCGATTGTATGATTGCGCACGGAGCCAGCGCTTTCCTGAAGGAGCGGTTGTTCGACGTGTCCGATCCCTTCCGGGTGCACATCTGCGACGACTGTGGCTTGATGACCCCTGTTGCGTAAGTGGAGAGATAACCTTGATTTTGTCTATCAAAATGAGCTAACGATGATGGAACCACAGGAAACTCAAGAAGGGACTCTTCGAGTGTCGACTGTGTAACAACAAGCACCGAATCTCGCAGGTGCATATCCCGTATGCAGCCAAGCTTCTGTTCCAAGAGCTGGCCTCAATGAACATTGCCGCTCGCATGTTTACCAACCGGTCTCGCGTGTCCGTGCGGTGAGGGGGGAGGAAGGATGACTATCTGTGTACATCATTTTCTTCTCTTTCGTGGTATCTCTTCCGGCTTCTGGTGTTTCCATGCCTTTCTCTTTCCCCCTCTCCGATTTCTTTCCCCTGTTTTCTTTCCTAATAATTCTCCACCCCCCAAAACGTGTGATATCAACCGAAGACCAGATCGATTCGGCATTTTCCGGCGTACAGAGGACCAGAGGTTTATGATTTTGATTCGAGCTTCTATATATTGTTATTACTTTTTCTTGTTTCCTCTTTTTTTGCTGACCATGGTTGGAGGAATGACTGGTGTGAGCAGCGATGTACTTGGCTGACGATTTGTCCCTACGGAATCGAATCGAAATTGGATCTAGAGAAGCAGACGAAGAAGAGGGGTAAAGATCCCATGGCATTTCTGCACGTAAGAGCCGGCCATGACAGGGCCCTAATCGGGGGAGATGCTGCATGGTGTAGTTGTAGTGGAGAGTCGTAGCGTGGTGTCTTGCTTCTCTCAATGGTGGGATAGCGTCCAACCCCCTCCTCAATCCCGGTGCACGAACTTAAAAATTCCTCGGTGCTGCAGAATGGAGATGTCGGTGACAGGCCGTCTCCCCTCTTGTGTGAGTGCGATTGGCTGGGAAGGTTTCTATTGATAGGTGAATGGCTCGGGAGAATGTGCTCGTGGAGGGCGGCAAGGGAAGAAAAGCATGCTGTTGATGGAGGGGAGATGGAGGGACGATGGAAGGGCGAGCAGCGAGGATGGTTGGTTGTCTGCTGCAGGCCTGGCTGCCCGTGAAGCCAATGAGACCAACGAATTACCCGCCGGCTGGGATGGCGAGAGGACGAAGCGGGGATTTGACTGGCAAACAGTTGCTCTCGCTCTTCCCAGAATAGAAGATGGCGGGTGACAATCCCATCACACGCATTGCACTAACCAGACTAACTGGACTGACTATCTAACCGGGCTCTCTCATCCGCTCATCTTCCTTCCCCCGGCGCTCTCTTAAAAGGCTGCTGTAGCCGCCAGGGCGTTCTCTGCCCTTTTCTTCTCTTTCTTTCTTTCTTTCTTCAGCAAGCTTGTCTTGTCTGACTGCCCGTGGTTTAGAAGTATCCCCCCTGTGCACTGGCTGCACTGGTTTTTGTTTGTTTGTCTCTTCGTCGCTTGTTATACTACATCTTAATTATCCCCTCCCCCCGCCTTTCTACTATCAATATATCAAAAAATCCCCTCAAATCTGCCCCATTCAATACACGAGCTGTGCTCTGTGTAAATGCTTGATTGCTTTTATTGCATCTTGTTCGGATACTTCTAAACCATACAACCACGTGACGGTTCATCTTGTTGTCGCCGGTCGACTTCTAGTGTTCTTGTCATATCAGCTCAGACGACTTGCTGGCCTTGTCATTTATTCATTCCAACATCTATCTAATATTTCTGGTTGCGTGTCAAGGACTGGATCCTGTCAAAGAAAGCCTCGTTGTTATACATTTGCACAGCCAACCAACCAACCCAACACAAGGCTAGACTTGAATCGACTCTGGTAGTCTTTCCATCTCGGCCTTTTATAACGACGATTTACTCCTGCCATTGACACGATTATTTAACCATTACGCCTTCATTCTGCTGCATATAATCTAATTCTTAGTATAACCTGGTCAATCTCTCTCAACATGTCTGCTGTTCAGCTCAAGTTCTCGCTGCGCACCTCCTCCAATGTCAAGACCGTCCATCTGGTCGGCTCCTGGGACAACTACTCACGTCAGATCCCCCTCTCTCGGGATGATGTCAAGCCAGGCGCATGGACTGGCAAGTTCCGCTTCCAGACCTCCATGCTGAAGCTGGGTGGCCGCTACTGGTACTACGTATGTGACTTTGCCCCCCTGCTATTGAGTGACTCACCACGCTGACTTCGGATAGTACATCATGGATGGTTACCATGTCTCTCATGATCCCGCTGTTGAGTACACGGTCGAGCCCACCACCGGCCGCAAGTTGAACATCCTCGATGTTCCCGGTGGTAAGAAGTCGTCCCAGCCCGCCCCCAAGCACCACCGGGGCTCGACAGACTTCGTCAAGGGTCGTGCTCCTTCTCCGTCCAAGATCCACCACCCCAAGCCGTCCAAGCCCTATGCCTCCCGTCAAATCCGGGAGACGGACTTTGCTCCCACCATGGAAGACCTCACCATGCGGTTTGCCGACTCTCGTCTGTCGGACGAGTACTCGCTCTCCAACAGCCCGCCCAGCTCGGTTGGCTCGTCCCTGTCGTCTCGCTCATCTGGCAGCACCTCCCCGTCATCCCTGTCGTCGATGAGTGACCCACCCACCCCCATCTGCCACTGCGAGCGCTACGGAATCACTCGCAAGGGCGACCGGGTCAAGCTCGATTGTGGCGGCAGCCGATGCGGCTATGTTACCGAGTCGTCTGAGGCTAGCTGCTCCGAGTCCGACAGTGATGAGGAGTACCGCCGTGCCCGCAGCGGTGTCCGTCGCCAAGGCATTGTGGTGCGCAGGTAAATCATAACAATTTGTTGCTGCTTTTTGCCTTGCTTTAGTCAATTTTACCCCACCTCATGGGAGTCGCTTCCCGTGTCGAAAGACCGAACACGCCGTGCATTGGATGTCCCTCCTCTTTCCATCAAAGAGGATAGTCACTCCTTTGGCAGATACCTGCCGCGCCAATTGAAGCCGCTTTGTGCATGATGCTATAAAATGCAAGAAAGAAAACCAAGAAAAAAAAAGGGAACCAGCCATCTGGATCATGGCAGTCTGCCATGAAGGAGCCAGATACGCTACGTGGAGGAGATGGGATAGCTGAGGATGTGACAGAGGAAATAGGAAGGAATTTGGAAAAAAAGGACAAGAACCGCTCTATACCGGCGCTCTGATGGTATAGCCAGGTGGATGAAGGACGAAATGAAACGAGCGACGTCAAGGTCATGTTAGCTACGTTGTTCACATAGGATACGAATGATGAGTGATGACTTGCCTATCCTTAGCCTGTAGCCTAACACGTTATCACTATAATGTTCCCCATATAATTACTCTTGACTAGTAGTATGTAGTTGAAGTGCTATTCTCGGCAGCAAAACCCGGAAGAGAAGCAAGCTTATGGATGAAATCCGTCGGAAAGTCCAGGCTTTCCCCCGCGATCGGATATCCCGAGCACCGAGCCTACTTTAAAATCTGGGGCATTCCTTGAGTTACAATTCTCCTCTTCGTTATACATCAATTCAAACTATCTTAATCTATATATCCAAATAATCAACATAGAAGAAGCCATCATGCCCCCACCTCCCCTCACCGTGCAATACAAAGAAGCCAACGGCAGTAAAATCACCACCGACATCTACCTCCCGTCACTAGAACAACCCACCACCAGCGGAACTGACACACCAAAGAAATATCCCGTTCGTACGTCTTAGTTCCCCTCCACTGCATCAATATGCCAAGTTACTAAGGAGCCAACAGTAATCAACATCCATGGCGGCGTCTTCATGCTCGGCCACTCGCGCATGGTTTCCATGCCGCAAGTCGACGACTGCCTGGCCCGGAACTGGATAGTCGTGGTACCCAATCATCGCCTCTGTCCGCAGGTAAATATGCTCGAGGGGCCAATAACCGATGTCCGCGACCTGTTGGCGTGGATTTATGATGGGGGGTTAGATGCGTTTCTTGCCGGTGCAGGTGCAGATGCAGCGCTGTACCGCGTTGATATGGATCGGGTTATGGCATTTGGGACGTCATCGGGGGGAACGTTGGCGTTGTCGTTGGTGAGTATACCCACACTCTATCTACTTACCTCTACTATATGCATATCCAATCGTACTAATAATCCAAATCAGGGCTACTCCGTCCCCCGCCCTGTCGCCGCAATCCTCGACTTTTACGGTGCCGTGCACTTTACCCACCCCTTCTGGACCCAACCTCTCCCGGATGTCCAACGCACTCTCCCACCCCTCGACCCTGCATTTCTGCAAAAGATCTACGACGAGTTCCCCGTCCCCACGGACAGTTCCATCTCGCTGGAAGGTCAGACAGAACTTGCTGGCGTTGGCGGGAAGCCTGCTGCTAAAGGCCCGGATTTCTCCCGGCCCCGGGACGCCTTTGCCCTGACGCAGGTGGCTAATGGGACGGTCTTGCAGGCTTGTTATCCTGACAGGGATGTGAGGGAGGTGGATCCGGTGGTGCATGTCGGGAAGGACTTCCCGCCGACGTTTATTGTGCATGGGGATTGTGATACGAAGGTCAGTATTGACGTCAGTCGGGAATTGTGGAGGGTGTTGAGGGAGAATGGGGTCGAGTGTGGGATGGTGGAGGTGCCCGGGGAGGATCATACGTTTGCGATGGGGATGAAGGTTGGGGGGAGAACATGGGAGTTGCAGAGGGAGGGGTTTGATTTTCTGGAGAGGATTATTGCGCGGTAGATAATAGTAAGATAGGGGTTGGTTTGGTGGTGGTGAAGAGGAAGGGGGGGAGGGTTTCATATAGATCACTGATAAGAGTAAGAATCAAGATCTAGCAGTTCTTATTCCATAGGCCTTTAACTTATTCGGTATTTAAACCATCTCGGGGATTGTCCGATGTGTGTGCTGTATAGTGTGGAAAGTAGTAGGATGTCCACCAATGCACGGCAATGATAAGCTAGGCTGCAACGTATGCAATATTCTGGGATGGCCGGTGTCCGCGGGGTCCAGGCACTCTAGGCTGATGCCAATCTTAGGCAAGCATTTAAAATCCTCTCGCTAATCGCTAGTACAGTTCTTCAGCTGGTTTCAGGATATAACTAGATAGCAGCAAGAGTAGTAGTCGTCTAGTCATACTTTAGTCTAATTCTATACACGTGGTCATCGGCCTAGTTCAAGGCCGTAACCAGTGTAAATTGTTGTGGATAGTCACAGAAAGCACTGAGCTTACAGTAAAAGCTTGACTGTAGACGTGGATAAATTCATCAATCAATCCATTTGTCATGGTAGTCTAACAACTGCCTTTCGAATGGAAGTATTCCGAAAAGGACAACCCTTGGCTCCATCGAAGAAGAAGAAGTTTTGTTCACTTTCTTAACCGGGAAAGATGGACACAGAATGGTTGCCTGACGCGTCTGACTCAGGCCTCCACACAAGGTGGATCTGGTTAAGCCCTATTATCCCAATCAGGGCAAGTCACGGGGACTACTATTTTGGGCAGGCGAGGATGTGAATGGCTCACCTTCGCAGTGCTCGGGCCCAGCAACGACACGATGCCCACTTTTCCTCTCCATCGTCCGCGGTTGACTCGCTTCTCCTCCGTCCGGGCGTCTGTCCAGCTCATCCCAGTTTCAGCCCTACGGTGCCAGGGGCCAGTTCAACCTGCCTTTGAGTGGTTCATCCAACCCGGCCACTCCGTCCCGGTCTCTTCTCAGCCTCAGCCTTCCTCCAATCCCCTCTTCTCTCTCGGACAACTAACCACCTTCATCCACGCTATACTGGGCTAATTTCCTGGTTAAGGAATTTCCCTCAAATCACCGGCCGGGTCCCGCTGCAGCCTTACGGCTCCCAAGGTCCTCCCCGGAGAACCGCACCGACACTGAACTCGTTCCAGTGGCCCACGGCACGGAGAAGCAATTTCCAAACAAGAGACTGCCCTATAGCGGACCCAGCTGAATCTGCTTTCCCCTCTTTCCTTTCTGCTACAGCCTCTACACGAGGTCCAGCTCACCCATAATGACCACCTGACTTGTCTGTTGCAGTCTGCATCCTCTTACTCCATTCCATGCCTCTCAGGGGGGTCTGGGGAAGCCTTTAACGGCTCCCTTTCGAGTGGGTAACCGGTGCCCGGCAACCCCTCAGAAAAGCAGGGAAAGCGTCGGAATCAGCTGTCATGGATGGGCGTGGCCTAGTTCTGCACTACTCGGCGTTCAGCCCGACAAGCGTCCCCCACTGATCGACTCCGGTTTGCCCTACGACTATTGCGAAATCCGAAATAGACCAATCTGCTATGGGTTGACGTTTGCCCGGCAGGATGGGTCCTCCTCATTTCCCTCTTTTTCTCTATTTCCTTTTTTTCTTTTTCCCCTCCATTCTCTCCTCTTCCTTGATTGTCTACTTTTTTGCTTTCTCGCTGGCCCTTTCCGTCACGCTCTCTCTTTCTCTCTCTTCCCTCTTCCCCCCTCGCCTTTTCCCTTCTCCCTTCTTTCCTCTCTCTTGTCGCTAGTCCTGTTCGTGATGGACCGAGTTCTTCCAGATTATTCCCGAGCATTGAATTAAGGGTTCCTTTGGATTTCTTCTATGGATGCCTTGCATCGACCTTCTGCAGTCGCATTCAGCATCAAGGCGCCTTAGAATGACAAGCTCGCCAGTTCTAGATCCTTGGTATTGTCGTCACTTGGAACTTGGTTTCTATCATGGTCCTGGGTCGCCTGAATGGTCGGTGTTCTTATAATTGATTCCATCCGCGATCCACTCCCCACCTCCATCGCACTCACCACTTTACTCCTCGACCCTCAGTCATTCCTTGACCACCACCCTCAGACCTGTCTCATCACCACGCGGGACGTTTGATTATTTCAATTTGTGTCTTTTTTTTTTCTTTCTTTTTATCTACCACCCCTACAAACTCATCGTTCGACCACTACTTCTACTACCACCACCACCACATCATGTGTTATCTACTGGTTGAGCGATTTTCGGTGTGCAGATGTCTTTACTTTCAGCACGCGGTAGATCCGTGTGAAGCATATGGCCAGCGTGGCCATGTGGTGCAGGAGAAAATCGTCCTGGTCGGCTACACCTGTTCCCGACACTCATTGAGATGCAACGGAAACAACGCTCGAGACCCAACCCTGCCGGATTCAGGATATTCCAGCATTAAGGGTTAAACCTATCTGCTCTTGGACAGTGAGAGGCAGCAGTCGCGGGACGTCTGCCTCAACTGTTGTTCGATTATTTTCCTGTTCGATGCATGCTCAGTTCGATTCGATTTTGGCTTGGCCGGTTCGCCAAAACTCTTGCTAGATATATGCTTTTTTTTATTGTCAACGCCGTGGGGCTGCGCTCTCGTCACCGTTTTCTTTATAATTGTGTGTGTGTGCGCGTGTTCAGTCAGCCTGTTCTGCATAGCGTTGCGTTGTGTTGCGTCGCAGAATCCCCAGTCACGATGAGACGAGAAATGTGCGACGATCGACTGGGCGGAGAGTTTTGTCTCATTAAACTATGGTAATAGAGGAGGATTCAATTGAGAAAATCGGGGTCGTATCAGTGATACACCAGTTGGGGGATACCAACATCTATCTATGCATTATCTAGCTGGCCTACCTACATTCGTTCAACTTATAATCATTTATTGTTTACGGTCATATGAACATGTACTTATGCATGGCATCCGATCTACCTACCAATGGATATATCGATCATCCCGTTAGACGAGGGTTAAAGTTAAGCAATAGTGAAATTCCTGAATGACTTGTCTATTGCACTATAGATCCCGAGAAGGATCAAAACTGCGGTGACCAAGTGAGAAAAACTATAACTCAATTCTACCAAGTCCCCACAGCTAGATACCTATTCATAGAACCAATCTCGCATGATCATATCATATCAAGTACTGTAAGCAAGAGGTTCAATAGCCCACAACAGACCCTAGTACTCGTCAACCTGTACCCACAACGGAATCCCCAACTTTCCAGAAACAGCATAATAATAACAGAGTGAGTGATATCTCGCTTGTCTACGTGTACTTAAGCATTACGCATCTTAGTAGCCACCACTAAAGCCTATGAATTCACCAGCAACTTTCCACTTATGAACGAACTAACTAAATAAGTAGTGTGTTATTCGCATGTAATGTATGAGTAGTATGCATGCATGTATTGATGTATACTTGTGTTAAGTAATAAAGTTCACTATGTATGCATTCATTGCACGATGGACTGGAGAAGGACCCGATTTACCAGTTGAGTAGTAATTTTTGATGTTAGTGCTAGATTCGCTTTCAAGTCTTGTTTTCAAACTATGAGGGGTAATAAGTATATTCATTTTTATTGATTGGAGTGCTTCTTCGGTCGTACAGAGTTCTTTCTTCTCTGCTGCTTCTGCTGCTTGTTTTGTGCGTACAGTGTAGCTGATACTATGAACTAACTGAAGTATCATATCAAGGTGGGAAGAGAGAGAGAGAAGATCTCAACTCTAATTGGTCTTGAAAAGAGCAACCAACCAACACACGGGAACAAAAAAGTTAATATACTCATGCATGCTTCAAGCAAAATGAAACATATAGAATACAATACAATAATACAGCACACAACTCCACTCCACTCCACTCCACTCCACTGAATTACACCCGATTGATGAGAATTTGACTTTTTTTGCTTCTTGGCTTAATTCCTCTTCATCATTGAACAGGGGAAAACAACAAAATACAAAATCTAAATCGAGCCAAGAGCCCCATGGCTCAATCCCTTCGCTAGACCGACCCGGAGAATACGGAGAATGTCATCTCCCGTTGCGTCCTCTGGTAGACCGGCACGCCAGTCCCAGCCGCGTTCGGTGGAGGTAGTAGTGGAGTCAGCGTCCGCGCGAGGGACAAGCACGCCGGAGCTGGCGACGGAACCGGAGCCCGAGCGAGTGCGGGCGGATTCGAGAATGTCATTGCCGATGAGGGAGAAGGTGCTTGATGCTGTGAGGGAAGAGACGGACTTCTTGAGCATAGCGCGGGGGGAGGGAGGAAGGACAGAGGAGTCGGAGGTGTGGGCGCGCTTGTTGGAGTGGTATTGGATGAGCGTGGAGCGGAAGCATTCTTCGCATTGAGCGTAGACGCGCGGAGTCACGGTCTGGAGGTCCTCGATGGCGGAGAGGATGGTGAATTGTTGGGAGACGGAGAGGAGAGGAGTGGATTCTGCCAATCAGATGGTTAGAATATGGGTCTTACATATGGTAGTGAGATGAGAGGGAGTCTTACGACCAATGAAGGGTAGGGCTTCGCCAAGCAAGGTTAACAGTCCATCGACTTGGACAACAGAATCGCGATCTGGATCGTACAGACCACCGTAGATGCTGTCTGCCGCGCTGCCAATGACAGCCACCAAAGCCTGGGCCGCCGCTCGTCTTCTGGCTAGAGGCTTGAACCGAGGTCGCTGTCCTTCCTTGAGATTGAGAGCCTCGTCGCGAATCTCGTAGAAGCGACGCAGAGTTGCATATCCACTGAAATAATACTGGAGAATAGTAGCGGCCTCTTCATCTGTGTGTGCAATCGCCCCCAAGCCAAACTTGGGGTTCTTGATTAGAGCTTCAAGCTGCTCGTCCAGGTCGGCGGATTCGGGAAAGGCGCGGGATTGAACAAGACTGTATGAGATGAGCAGGTCGACAATAGACTTGACCTTGCGTCGGTTATGTGCGCGAGCATAGCACAGAAGGGCAAGTCCATATTCCTGAGAGTTTGCGACGGTATTATCACCATAGCGCTGAGATGGTTAGCTCGAGTTCACATAGTATCAGTAAGCGACACCTACTTCAGCAACCTTCCTTCCGTGTTGATCCAAATCCATTTCACAGCACAGCTGGACCACTCTATCCACCTTCTCAACACTACTCAATGGTATCTTCTCGAGCAGTTCCGCGACATTCGTCTCCAGTTTCTCGCGGTCATCCAAGCGGCTCAGGATCTCGATGGCCATCTCCCATCCCTGTCGCACGCCCGTTTCGGACTCTAGGGTGGTTCGCTCAGACAAGCCCGACGCATACTCGCTAATCACATCGTTCTTGTGAACGCGTCGCGCAGGCGCATTTCCAGCCTGTCCATAGGAAAGAACCATCAAGTCATTTTCGCTCAGGCCTGGCATGGATTTAGGACCAGCCCCAGCCTCTAGCCAGCCGCCAATAGACGCGAATTCAACCACGGCAGCCGCTACGCACAGCGACCAAGTCCGAAGCAATTCTAGGACACCATCCACGTTGCCTTCAAACACGGAAGCAAGTCCGACTTCGAGGCTGCTCATCGAGTTGACGCGGAAGCCAGCGTCGTCGGGCTCGGCGCTGGTTGCATGGCTAAAGGCCAAGTCAAGGCGACGGAGATAGGCGTTCCGTACACTGCTGGAGGAGGCGTTGGGTCTGGACAGTCTGGAAAACAGGTCGGAGCTGGAGCCCTCCTCGTCATCCTCTCCATCCCACCACACAGTCATCGCAATCGTGGCTTCAATCCAGTCCTCCGCGTGGTTCATGACCACACTCGTGTCACCGAGGATGATGCGGTACATGGACCGAAGGTTTTGGTAGATGGCCCAAGGGACTTTGCTCTCGGCCATGCGTGCGTTCTGAGCAAAGGAGAACATCGGGGCAGCAGCAGTGGCCTTCAATCCGAAGTTGACTGCCTGGAAGCGGTTCTCTGCAGCTGGAGGCTCGGGAGACGCCTGTTCACTGCCTTCGGCGAACTCCTCCAAATCTGTCACGGCGGCAATCACCCGTTTTCTATACGTAGCCCACTCTGGGCCTCGGATGTCCCAGTCCCCGTGCTGCACGCTGGGGCATGAGTCGAGGATCTGGAGGGCCCGGTTAACGCACCTCTGAATGTTCTGCAGCTGTGCGCCACGGTAGCCCGACTGCGGCAATCCATCCTCCAAGGCCGACCGTGCATAGTTAAAATCAGCCGAGCGCAAAAGGTCCGCCGCCTCGGGGAGATGGCCACGCAATACAGCAGCATTGATCAGTTCCCAGAAGTTTGGAGAAGCCGTAGGATTGGGCTCAATCTCTTTCAATGCTTGCAGCTCATCGGTAAGAGGCATATGATTCTCATCAAGCCAGTCAAGAAGGAGCTTAGGTATGGGCGTAGGGGTATTCGTCCGAGCAGGGGCCAGTAATAAATTGCGCGCTGGAAACCCCAGGGGGCTTAGAAGGCTGGGCTTGGGTGCCAATTGAGGAGGATGATGAAGACGCAGCAGCAGGGATGCCAGGAAGCTTGCTTTCGTGACATTCGAAGCATTGTCTCCGGGACCGATGCCGGTTCCTGTACTCTGTCCAGCGCTATCCTGACTTGTGATTTCCTGCCACGTTTCCACGAGTCTGTCGCAAGAGTCTGAGAGAGCGACCTCGAAGTCGGTGTTATTGTAGTCAGACTTCTTCACTTCATCGTGCATGCGGCAGACTTCATCCTCGGTATCCATGATGAACTGGCTTGGCTCGTCCACGGCAGCCACGCGCGATCGCGAAGCGAAGTTCCGCACGATTGACGGCATCGCCGAATCCTTCTTGGGCGACAGCTTGCCTTTCCGCAGAGGCGACTGGTTCGCCCACTTTTCATCAAGCTTTGGGCGCTTTGCTTGTGTCGTGGAATTTGAGTAGATCGACTTCCGTTGGCCAAGTGCGGCGGACGGCGCAGAGATGGAATCGCCAAGCTGGGAGTCCAGGAAGCTGAAGCGAGACCCTGTGGCCTTTTCTGTAGTTCCCAAGTCCATAGCGTTGTCGGTCTGTTCAGCTTCTTCCTCCGGCAGAACTTCCTCTTCGCCCTCCGCATCTTGGTCGGTGGCATCATCATCCATCCGTGAATCCGCGAAGCCGTTGGAATTTCCAAAGCTAGTCGACTCGGCAAACCGGCTACCATTTGTAATACTAAACAGCGATTGCGACTTCGCAAAGGACTTGGTTTGCGTGGTCTTCTTTCCTCGGGGGAGGGCAAAGTCGGTGGAAGCAATGGAGGAGCCGAAGATACTGTCGTTGGGATTGATGTTCCCAGACTTGGTGAAGAGGGAGCCAGAGCTCATCTGGGAGCTGCCGAACATGCTGCTGGAGTGAGGGTGGCCTTGCGGAGTGAAGGAATTGGATGCGGAGGGCGGAGCGCCTGCGGGCGTTTCTGACAGATTACTGAAGACACTGCGGGAATGGCCGGGGGTGGACGGCGGACTTGATTCAAAAGGGGATTTGAAAGACATGCTGCGACAAGGCTAGTTTAATTGGTAAGGTGCCCGGAGATAATGGAGGAACAATGGACGCGAAGAGTGAGGAAGGATAGAGCTGCACCTCAGTTGGGGGGCGGTACAGACAGCGTAAGAGGCGGGAAATAGGGACGCGCATGCAATTTAAAGAGGGCGGGTCATTGAGCCAAAGCTGAAGAATCGACAAGCAGCCGGGCAGAGCGAGAAAGAAGCAACACGCCCGTCCAAGACTGCTGTGTTTCTGGAATCTGAGATTCTACTGTTTCGCCGGCCAACAATTAATTCTCCCGAAGTTCGAGACGCGCGCCGGGCGGTGAGGCATACAGTCATGTGATAGCACATAGATTCACGTGACTGTCTTGGGTCAGATGATGTCACATGAGACTGGGAGCCTGAGTCACCTACGCTACGCCCGATCGGGCCCGTCGTATCCGCTAAGATACATGTAGTGCTGATTGGCTGGAGGTTATCCATGGATCGGGTGCCCGAAGGAATCAGAAAGGAGAAGGTGCAGAATGGCTGTGATGCACAGCCTGATGATCGTCAAAGGGTCTCGTATCGGCATGAGCCGCAGCAGTGCGCCTTGTCCGCCGTAAGGCTCGGAAGCATGATATAAGAACCATGGAATGGCGTCGATTCCATGAATTTGGGATTGTGTTCTCAGAGCCATCAACTAGCAGTCTACTACTACTCTCCTGCTAAACAGATGGCTACTTACGACCCTTCCCTGGTCTCCAATGACCCGACCTTGGTCGGTTCTCGACCCTCTGACTATGAGGCATCTGTGGATGAGAAGCTTCCAAGCGAGCAAAGCGCCTCGCACGTCTATCAGATCCATAACACGCTGTTCCGACACCATTACAATGTGACCACCGCCCAGGGGATGCAGCTGTACCGGGTGGAGAACTCCTCTTGTACGCCCAAGAAGCCAGACCTTACCTTCCACGCGGGGTCTAACGAAGCCGGCCCGATTGTGGCCGTCTGCAAATTCCTACATTTTTCGAGACATATCAAGGTCGGTCTGGGCGATCCCAGCGATATCAATGGAATTATATACGAGGATCTGCTAGCGCAAGATCACCGACATGCCAAGTATCGTTGGCAGATGACGATGCAAACTGCTCAGGGCCCGGAACGGCACTCGTTCCTCTGGACCCGGACACACTCAGTCGGGATTAAGGAGGATCGCAAGACGAACAGCTTGAGTAATCGCAACTTTAAACTCGTTGAGGAGCAGACCGGCAAGGTCGTGGGGGTATTCACCAATGCTGTTTGGAAGTACAAGGAGACTGGCAGGCTTGTAATGTTTGTGGATCATGGGGAGGAATTCGACCTGATGGCACTGATCACAGTGCTGGCCTTGTACGAGAAAGCCCGGCGGCGCAGGGATTCTGCTGCTGCTAGTGGTGGCGGCGGTGGTGGTTAAGAGGAGATTGGGATTCTTTGATATGGCTATTCTGCAGTTCCCTTTTGCGATATGAGATACCAGGTTGATTTTCTGCATTTTTGTTCTATATCCTATCATAATATCAATAAGCACAAAGTTTTGGTGCTGAGGACCGTGTTGATGACGTAATACGACCCCGGCTCCAAAGAAAGATTGAAATGCTTCAGCCTTGACTTTCTTGTCTTTCCCCGCCATTTTCTTCGAGATAGCGAATCTAAGCGACAGCTTCATGCGAAAGGAGTCAACCGTGGGTCCAAAGTCCCTCGGATCTAGCATGGCCAGCAGTAGCTCCTGCACCACGTTCAATGGCACTTAGAAGACCCCATCGCAAATCGCGCCACGGCTGCTTGCAATGCAAGCGAAGGCGGGTGAAGGTATTCTCCTATTTCCGCAACCTTCTTGTGGAATCCTCCCTGTGTCTCGTCTTACTTACTGACAATCCCAGTGTGATGAGTTACGACCCTCCTGTTCAAATTGCTCAAAACGTCTAGCAACCTGCGAGTATGACTCTAGCTCATCACTGCTATGGACAAATGAAGAACCCCCTTCTCGCACACGGTCCACGAAGTCTAGCCCAGCAGGAGCCTCCCAGTCTGACTCTGCTGCGGCTACGACTGCCAACTCCCTCAACATCCTGGGAAGATGGGGTGATGCATTCGCCGCCTCGCAAGCAGTCCCCAGCTTGAACATCACAGACCTGGAGCTGATGATGCAGTGGTGCAACTCAACGCACAAAAGTGTGTCTCGGGGCGAACACACGGACCACATTTGGCGCTTTCGCGCTTCAGAGGAAGCAATCACGCATCCTTTCCTAATGCATGGGTTACTCGCGCTTTCCTCTCTGCATATTGCACGAACAAAGCATGATACCCAGCAGCGTCCCATTTATCTCAGCACTGCAGTTGCACATCAGGCTCAAGCACTGGCACTTTTCCGCGAGAGGCTAAGCGATATCAACTCATCTAATGCAAGGGCTATGTTTGCATTCGCCAGTGTTGTGGTCTACTACACTTTTGGCTTACCTCACGCACCCGAGTCTAGCGATCCATGGGCAAACGTGGATGACCTGATTCAGATATTCACGCTCGCGCGCGGGGTTCAACATATACTCAAGCAAGCTACTTCGGTCATAAAGAGCGATGAATGGAGCATGATTTTCAAGGTGGAAGACTTGAATGAGGACTACTTGAGAGACGCACAGTCAAGCTTGGAGCGGTTGCATGAGGTGAACAACGCTTGCGGGGCTCAGGACGACACCCATGACACAGCTGCGTACGAGAGTGCACTTGACCGTCTGGCAGAAATGCTGGCTGAGGCTCGTACTGGTCTATCCTCTGTGTCGATTTCCTGTCGATGGGCGATCAGACAACTGCCTGAATTCATGGAACTTTTGCGGGAGCGCAAACCGCTAGCTTTGGTTATGCTAGCATATCACTGCGTTGTCTTCCATCACCTGAGGGATGCATGGTATATGGGGGATCGGGGTAGCAGAGTAGCACGGGCATTATGGGAAGTTCTGGACGATAAATGGAGGCCACTGATTGAGAGTCATATGCTGGAAATATTCGGAGAGACACATCCAGTTAATACGCCTGATACAGCAGGAATAGAACATCAGGAAACCATTTCGTGATTCATTGATTCAATAACTGGACATTTACAAGCGACGACAGCTCCAACTATACAGAGATAGGCTCCTTTGATTCGTCCTTCCTTTTCTGTCTTGGTGCTCCCGCGCTCGAGAAGCCATTCCACTTCTCTCGGATGGATAGCAGCGAAAACGATCAACACGGACAACGCCAGCAGTCCTTCCAGCACGTAAATGAACACTTCATGCTGCAGGAGGAACCCATCCGAGCCCTCTATATACTCGACTACACGACAGACCGATCGGACGATGATCAGAACACGCGAGCTGTACAAGGCGAACATATGCTTCCTCCAGGGAATCAAGGGATACCGCGACTCCTCAGCTGGCCGACTTGCTATGCAAGCCAGGACAACCAGCGCGCTCACGACAAAGAAACTGAAGAAAGCAATCTGCACGATCAGACCACCCACGATGATTTGTTGTCCCATACTCCGGGAGCCATTGACCATGATTCCCGCCCCTGTATCCACATTAGCACATCACACAACATCACCTAGGCACAGCACGCACTCACCCGACACTTGCATCAAGAAGCTGAGCATATCTCCGGCAACAAATATGTTGGTCATCCAGCCCACCCGGATGATTGCCAACTCTCCCCATTTCACGAGGGCAATGATCTGACACAACTCCATGTATATGCTCGCAGCGAAGAGAGCCGGTGCAACCAGCAGCAAGGTGCTCTGCATGACGTACGGACCGAAGTCCAGTGGGGAGACTGAGATGCCAACATGGCGCGGCCGGTGTATCCTATTGCCTCGACCGGTTGGTCAGTGATATTTCAACATTGAAATGGTTGGCATACAGTAGCTTCCAATGACGAGATGGGTTGAAAACCTCATCCATGTCCGGAGCAGACGATAGGTATGAAAGAGGGTTGCTAGCATAAAGAGAGCCGCGAATACAATCGCTGCAGATATTAATAGATTGCATTGATAAGCCACAGCCGCTATGCGAATTTTAGGACATTTTGTTTGGTAGGCATGAAGTCAATCACTGCATGAAAACAGTATGTTGATAGACAGAACAAATTACCTTCCTGGAACAGAATTTCCATTTGTATAGAGGATCGTCTCTCATCGTGTCCTGTATAGAATTTTTTCTATGTGAGGCTTTACGATCTGCAACCTCGTATATCTCGTACCTGTTTCCCGATTGGGAAATACAATCATCCCCACGGCGGATCCAGACCGAGCGTATCAGGAGTGAAGAACATCCTTTTACATTTCTTGAAAATGACTGATATATGCAGGACTTCTCCCTTGAATGAGACTCTCATCCCATAAGTACTACAGTTGTCTATATATATCCACTTCCCCTACGACCCCCTCACCACCACACCCACCCTATACAACTCCCCAACCCCATACATACACCAACAAACAACTTTGAACACACCCAATAAATCTACAACCGACTCTCCCTCTCCTCTCCATTCACCAAGACATACCTAAACCTCGCCCTCCCTTCCTCCATATCCCTCAATGCCTCGTTCACCTCCTCCATCCTCCTCGTCTCCACCCACGGCACGACCCCCTTCTCCGCCGCAACCTCCAACATACACCTAATATCCTCACGACTCCCAATATTCGACCCAGTCACATTAACCCCCTTCCCAATCAGCTCGAACGCCCTCATCCTGGGCAACGGCTTCTCCGGCGCCCCCACCAACACAAACGTGCCCCCGGCCTTCAACAACCTCAAATACTTCCCCAACGGCATATCATCCCCATCCACCGTACAAAGAATCAAATCCACCGATCGACTCCACTTCTTCTCCCACCCTTTCTCCTCCCCAGTCGCAATAAACCCATCAGCCCCTAACCCTTTCACAGCATCCTCTCTCTTCCTATTACTCCTCGATATCCCAATGACTCTCTCACACCCCAGCGCCTTCGCAAACATAATCCCCAAATGCCCCAGCCCGCCTATCCCCACCACCGCTACCGTCTTCCCCTTCCCATTCCCATCCAGATACTTCCTCAACGGCGCAAACACCGTCGTCCCCGCACACAGCAACGGCGCCGCAACCTCACTCCTCAACCCCTCCGGAATCCTGAACGCGAATGCCGCAGGCCCACGCCACTTCCGCGCGAAACCTCCATACGCTATAACATCGCTTCTCTTGCCCGTCTCGTTGTCCCAGTACCGGCTGTTATACGTGCCCGTGATGCGCGGACAGTAGTTCTCCTTTCCGGCGACGCACTCCTCGCAGGATGGTTGTAGGCAGGAGAGGGTTTGGGCGCCGATGCCGACTCGGTCTCCGATTTGGAGTGGTGTGGTGTTGGGGTAAGCTGGGGAGGTGGGGATGGAGGAGCCGACGCGGGTCACGATGCCGATGATTTCGTGGCCCACGATGCAGGGGTAGGTTGTTGTGTTGGGACCCCAGCCTGAGCGGAGGGTGTGGAGGTCGGTACCGCAGATGCCGCAGTGGGTTATGGTTATTTCGATGTCGTGGGGAGTGAAGGGTTTGGGGCTGTAGGGGGCGTAGGTTAGGGGCGTGGTGGGGGAGTGGGAGAGGTAGCCGTGGAAATGTTCGGGGGGTTGGGTTGGTGGCATTGTGGGGTGTAAGTTGGGTGGTGTGGTGTGGTGGTTGTGGATGGTGTAGGTGTGAAGGTGGTGAGTGCGGAGAAGAAGTTGATATAAAGGAGGAATGCGGAGAAATGCCGAGGTCCGTTGGTTTAGTTGAGTTGGTTAATTGGAACAGCCGAATGTGGAATGTCCGAGTTCTGTGGATCGACAACACGTGGTTGGTGGCTACTTTAATTACCTCGGAGTATTCTATTATTATGTAGACGATATAAGTTTGAATGTAGTTTAGATTGTTCAAAAATAATGCTTGTGCGCACGTATGTGGCAGGTATCATAACTCTTCATAGGTATCTATACACCCCTCTCCTGGCACCACTTCTCTACCTCCTTCGCCAACTTCTCCCGCTGATCCCGCACCATCTCCATCACCGGCTCAACCTGCTTTGCGTAAGCATCGTAGCCCTTCTGTCCGTCCGGTCCCAGGCCATCCCCCTTCTGCGGGGCCAGGTACGTGTCGTAGACCGAGATCATCAAGTCCATCACAGCGGACAGCTGGTTCGGGAGCCACTGTGTACCGTTAGTCACTTGGCTGCTACGGTTATCACGAAATGACTGGCATAGTCTTACCGTAACAATAGGGCTTCCGCCGGTGGCAGTAGGATGCGGCGTGCGGCGGATAATGTACTCCCGGGCAAACAGCCAGTGTCGCCAGCGGAAGCTGCGCACATGGTTGAGTGTCTTCAGGAGAAGAATCGCCGTCTCGGTATCCGCCAGTGCAAAGTTGCGCACCCCGACCTCTTCCGACTTCGAGTTAATGTGCGCGAGGAACTCGCGGTGGGGAAGGGGTCGGTAGGCGCGGAATTCATGCAGCACCTTGGTTAGCGGGTTGGAGGGCATGGGGATTTGGCAGAGGTGGTCCAGCAGTGGAATCTGCGCTGGGAATCAGCTTGAACTGTTTATGTAAATGGTGTGGGATAGCTGCTTACCATGCTGTCGTTTGCACCACTCTCTCCGCGGAAGAAAAGAGGCTTGTTGTCGAGCACCCCGTCGTAGACGACTCCGTTGGGGAACATGGACTGAGATGTGATTCCGAAAATGAAGACGCGGAAGGAGAGGTAGTCCTGGGGCTTGGAGTTGGCCCACATATCTGGTAATGTTAGTTGGAGTGTAATGGTACATATAGGAAGGATATACATACCCTCCATGGCTGCTTCGATCTTTTCCATCGACTCCAGGATCTCTCGGAACCCGTCGTTGACTACCGAGCGTGGTCCACCCTGCTCAACGGTGTCGACAACCTTGACAGCTCCACTGATGAGGCCGCTCGAGTACTTGACCATGTCCACATGGGTCAGGATGAACCCTGCCTCTGAGCTCTTGGGGTCGAGGCCGTACTCAAAGGCGCGGACCAACCTAAGGTTAGGGTAGACCAGGCCCTTGGACGGTTCAGCCAAGGTGTAGTTAAAGAGGGAGTATGCAGCTGCATAGGACAGGAAAGGAGGAATGTCCAAGCTGTATCATGTTAGTATATTGGCCATGATAATATGTAGTTATGTGGGCAGGACATACAGCTGAGCACAACGGTACATGGGACGAGCTACAGTCTTGGGCAGAAGGTCCCGTCCCAGACCATAGCCACTCTCCGGGTCCTTGCACCAGTTCTCCCAGCATGGCTCAAGGATATAAGCCGAAGCGAGGAATGAGTAGTCCCGGAACAGTGCAGCGATCATGTACAGGTCCGGCGACCCCTCAGCGGTGACCTGCTTGTCGATCTCATCCGTCAAGTCGGGCAGCTCAGCCAGGACGGCAGGGCCCAGCTCATACTTGGCAAGCAGACCTGGAGTGCCATCTTCCTTGAGCACTGGCATCCGCTCAAGTAGGGACTGTAGAGGCTGGAAGACATCAGGCAGTGAGGTAGGGGCAGTGAGGTAAGGGAGGAAGCCAGTGGAGGTAGTGATAGTGAAAGGGTCCAGGGACCGGGGCAGGGTAGAAGGGTCATCATGGATGTGGGGGAAGCGGTCCACGGTGCTGTTGGGCAAGGGAACTCTAGAGGGAGACATGGTGTGGAGGTAATGTAGTATAGAAGTCTATCCGAGATATGAAGGCAAAAGGATGATGACGTGATGACGATGAGAGAGTAAAGGGTTGGTAGAGACCTAAAGTCAAAGTAGAGGAAGATAAGAAAACGGGAAGTTTCCTGCTGGGAATGTTTGCGGTCACTGGAGGATCTGGGAAGGAGAGCTTGGGAGTCTGAATTGGGCGGGAAAGCAGGCGATTCTTATAATACTCAGAGGCCGGTATCAATTCCGGCCTCAAAGGCACCATTACGAAAGAGGCAGGAAAACTGCGTGGGGACCTCAGACTCATTTGCGATAACGTAGTATCATAGATGCTGGGCCCTCCTATGTGATATATTGGGGTTCTACGATGATTCTACACGGAAACAACACCCCTTGCAGGCATGTCTGTCCATCAGATGCACGTCCATCGACTCTATACAAACTCTTGGCAAATAAGGGCACGCCAGAATCACGGGGACGCGCTATTCCCGATTGAGCAGGGTATAGTAGCTGCACCATCTGCTCGTTCCGGGGTCTAGCTGCTTGGAGATGGCCATAATGTTGTTTCTATACAATTTCAGACCCCTAGTAATCGTATAGACCTTTCACTACTCTCGGAAACACATCTAATACACCCATAATGCCCCTAGAGCCTCGTCGTCTACATTATGAAGCGCTTTATACTTCACCAAATGCCAAGGCTTCATGTCACATGGCCCCTATCATGATTGGCCAGCATCCTTGGATCGCGCCCGATTAGGCTTTCCTAGTTGCAGGAGGCCGGAATTGGGCCGGCCTCCGATGATAGCCGGCCTTCTTTTATGTCGGTCTGCTATCGCTCCTATCTCGGAGTCCGCCGGCACGTGTCACTGTGCCATTCTTGGCTGATAAGGATGTCTACCACAATGCCTAAAAGCAGTGTGTCTGAGACTAGCATATGTTTCTCTTTAAGCAATACAGAACAAATGTTCGTTCAAGCATAGCGGCACTTCTTTTACTGCTGCCGTATATACTTCGCATTGCCTTCTTTCAGCAGTTGTGACGCTTAACAGCTAATTTTTTAGCACAGCATGTGGTCTAGATACAAGCTGAATCCATAGTATACAGAGGTGGGTATGAATATTGATCTCTAATGTACATTTTGGGTATATTCTACAAGCATACAGCCATTAGATGCCAAGCGGACAACTATACCTGCTCGGTCGTTAGAGAACGGTTCACCGCTAGCCACCAAGAGCTTGAACATACCAGGCAAAGTCTAAACATCGTAAAGAGCCGCGCGGTCGTGTATCATGATGTTTGTCCTTGATTCGACTTCCCTCCGCTTTGTTCGTCAACGCTGGGCGAGACCTTCTGTAGCTTCCGGTACTCTTCTTCGAGCGCCCTTTGCATCTCGAACTCCGCCTGTCGTTCCCTGCGGATACGCTGTTTCTCCATGTCTAGCTCGACCGCTTTGTGCATTCCCTAAATCCGAGTCAAGCATTAGCTAATGTAGTCAATCTGGTCAGAGTGCACCAATGACATACAATTTTCTCTTGTTCTTGGGCCCAGTGCACAAAGTAGATGATCCCCGCCGTACCGAGACCAGTCGCGGCCAGTGTCAATTTAGAAGCACGGGACATCTCGTCTTAAATGCAATTTGCAGATTGCGCAAAAAGAAATAAGAAGCAATAATTGGATGAACAGTTGAATGCGCGAGTGGCATCATGTCCAAATCTGCATCGGATTATCGGTGATTATCAGTGATGGCGGTGTCTGGCGGCAAAACCCCGACCGCCTAAGGGGTCATTCGTGGCGTCGGGGAGATCGAACGGCGCATCACAAGCTCACGACTCCACCTCTGTATACTCCTATATTTTCCGACGCTCTCGTTCTAATAGGCGCCTGTTTTGAGAGATAATATTGCAAAGATGGTGAGGAGGATGTGTCGCTCGACTTGGGACTTTGCCATACTGACTCTTTTGGATAGTCCGCTCAGAACTCCGCAGGCATTCAGACCCTCCTCGATGTAGGTCGCATTTGGATTGAACTGGGTGGGGTATAGTTGTTGACCATCTCTATTTCAGGCCGAGAGGGAGGCTCAGAAGATCGTCCAACAAGGTTAGTTTACACCCTCTTTGAAATACTACCGAACCGTTAATCAGTGCTGACGTGTCGCTTTATCCAGCCAGAGAATGTATGTCATTAGACTCTTGATAACCACAGCATCCCGGTTAATGTTCTTATAGACCGCACGAAGCGCATAAGGGAGGCAAAGTCCGAGGCACAGAAGGAGATTGAGGAGTACAGAAAGCAAAAGGAGGAGGAGTTCAAGAAGTTCGAGGCTGAGGTATGATATTACTATCTGTTCTGCGGGGTTGGGCTCAGCAGGCGCGACATCTGGACGAACATGAAGGTTGACACTACCGTTTCTAGCACTCGAGTGGATACAAGAAGGCCGAGGAGGATGCGAACAAGGAGGCTGAGGTGAAGCTTCAGGAAATCAAGGATGCTGGTAACGAGAGAGGCGGAAAGGTTATTGAGACTCTTATCCATGCGCTGGTCGATGTGAAGCCCGAGCCGTCCGAGAAGATCGTGATCAAGGCATAGAGGAATGATGCCGAATGTCATTGTGGCAGCATGAGGGGTTCTTGTTTGTCATTTGCTTTCAGCCTGTGAATATAGTTCTGGCCCACTGTTTGAGCATTACATAAATTCATGTTGTGTCCTGTCTGACGCTGGCAAAGAGTCACTTGAGGTTGTCTTGATTCCTCGATGTCCTTATAAGTGCTGCTGGTCAATTTGAACAACCCTGCAGTCACAACTTTGCATCGTGGGGTAGCGCCTATATATTTTAAGAATAAACTAGAAAAGCAATACTAGCTCGTTAGTAGCATGCCTTTATTGGCAGTTACGCGCTGTGGATATAGTAGACGTTGATTCGGTGCCTTGATATTGTGGCCTGAGGCATGAAGCGCCCAGTAAATGTTGCGTCATCGTCATCAGGAACACCAGGCGGCCGCCAGATGTATACATTGCTCTCAAATTTCTCTTCATCATCGCATAACTAGTGGGGAGAAATAATAAAATGAGACATGCTGTCGCCGTTCGTAGCGGCGTGAAAAGCATCAAATTCCAGTCTACGTCTGCCAGCTACCCAGCCCTGAGATACTTTCACTCCTCTACGCGTAGGCACAGCCCACAACATCCCAGTGGCCCCGATGCTCTTGATCCACGCCTGGAAGACCTGGGAAAGGTCATTAGGGACGAATACGCGGTAATTAGGAAGGACTACGGTTAGCATGAGCTACTCACTTACCTTTATGATTGGTGTCAAGCTAACTGGTATTTCATTGAAAGATGCCCCAAAACATGCAGTTGTTCTCGCCCATGGCCTGCTTGGATTCGCCGAACTGCGTCTTGCTGGACGTTATCTTCCTGGGGTCCAGTATTGGCGTGGTATCAAGGAAGCTTTGTCAGTGAAAGGGGTTCGAGTCATCACTGCCACAGTGCCTCCCTCCGCATCCATCGAAACGCGTGCTGAAGAATTAGCGAGAGATATCGCTATTGGCGCACCCGGAGAACATGTAAATATTATTGCGTAAGTGTCATTCTAAGACCAGTGATACAGTCTTGTCTAACCCGGAATAGTCATAGCATGGTAAGCGCAGCATCTACTTGCCATTACGGGAGCTGTTATTTACACTTCCCTTAGGGGTAAGAACCAGGAAACTCTACCCTCCAATGGCGGTTGTTAATCAGTGCTCAAGCGGGCTTGACTCTCGATATATGATCACCCATCTGAAGCCGAATGACTTCAAGGTAAAGTCGTTGACGACGATTGCGACCCCACATAGAGGTATGTGTTCGTACAGAACTTCAAGAATACTCACTCAGTGTTTCAAGGCTCTGCCGTTGCAGACTACGTTCTTAAGCAGATTGGCGGTTAGTATGCACTTCGCTTCAACAGAAGCTACTATCTAACGTGGTTTCAGATGACCGCCTTGCCCAGCTGTACTATGCTCTAGACCGGCTAAAGGTAGAAACGGGCGCGTTTGCCCAGCTAACCCGTGACTACATGACGAACACTTTCAACCCCGCAACGCCAGATATTGAAGATGTCCGGTATGTCTCCACTGGGCGAAGATGGTGCCGTCATCAGTATGGCTGAGTTATGCAGATACTTTTCCTACGGGGCGGCAATGCAGCCAAGCTTCTGGTCCGCCTTCCGTCTATCCCACCGTCTTCTGGAACAAACAGAAGGGTACAATGATGGACTTGTCAGCGTTGCCAGCAGCAAGTGGGGAGGATACAAGGGCACCCTTGAAGGCGTCAGCCACTTGGACTTGATCAACTGGAGCAACCGACTGAAGTGGTTGGCCGGAGAAATTACAGGCAACAGACAGAGGTTCGCCAATAGACTTCTAAACCCAATTCATTGGACATGCGAGCGCCCCTGCTGACATTGGCTGGTTGTTTTTTGTCCTATAGGTTCAATGCTATTGCGTTCTACCTTGATATTGCAGGTAAGGCGCGAATGCTCTCGGCACCACATCGGTTGATAACCATGGCTAATGATTCTAGACATGCTCGCTAAGGAAGGTCTCTGACGACCCACCCCACTGCAGTCAAGTTGGAAATCTTGGTGCCTAGAAGTGTACTTGTAACTCGGAAGTATAGATCACTTGGCGATACCCAATTAATTCATTCCATCAGTCTTTGATACCATTTGCATGGCTCTGCTAGCGTCCGTAACGTGGCGGTGCAACGGAGGGGCTTCTTAGAGTTGTTTTCGGGGTGGCTTAGCATAACCCCGGCTGTAACACGAATCGGAGCCCAGCAAAAACCAGCCCTGCGAGAGGATCGCCGTTCAGTCTGGCTCGCTTTCCCCCGTCAGACGGTGTCAGACTGAGAGGCCCAGAATGGGTCGCACCCACTGTATGAATTAAAAAACCCGGTCAATGAACTCCACCAGTTGCTCGCTCAGATCAATCAGCAATCAGGACTCCGAAATACTCTCCATCCATTATAAAATGGTCCATTGTGTTTGTTGGAGAGAGAAAAGTTCCGAACGCGCCGAGACCGTACAGTTCTCGGGTTGCCCCACGCCTTGCGCTTTTGCGTCCCCTGGATTCAAACGTCATTTTCCCAGCTTGTAATCTAGTCAAAAGTCACTGCCGAACTCCCGTCCTCGTTTTTCTTCTTCTAGCTTTCCCCATCCGCCGTGCGCTGGTTTCTGTTTCCTTTTGTTTACTTGGATTTCCATATCCGTTCTCAGTAGATATTCTCACCTATTCCTCCCAGTGCATCGCCGTCTACCCCCAGCACAGACTGGTTCGGTCCTGACATCGAGCCTGTGCACACTTGCCGGCCCGCTTCAACCGCCACACGGTTCACCAAACTTGTGGTCGCCATGTCTGTAATCATCCACCTGGACCGGCCACATAAGCATTTCACCAATCTCGACTACCTCACGGGAAAGGTGGTACTACAATTACACTCTGAAGCTGCAATTGGAGGCATTCAAGTAAAATTAGAAGGCGAAAGTCGGACGCGCCTGGCAGGTCCGAAAAATCCACATAATGAGCAGTCGGATAAGAAACGTACCGAAATCGAGGTTCACAAGGTGCGAATTCTGAGGCATTTCCCTCTGGCCTTTTCCTCTGTTTCCATCCGAGACGCGAAATAAAACATTTGTGTGATGCCCTTCAATGCAAGCGATACTGACCAGCTGGTGTAGATCCTGTACAAAGTCGAAACGGTTTTCCCCACTGCAGCGGTATTCAATGCAGAGACCCCAGACAGGGCTTATACATTTGCAAGAGGGACGTACGAGTATCCGTTCAAATTTAAGGTCAGTATGGCTCGCAGAGTATCATCCATGACATACAGAACTTATAGTGGCTGTTCAGTTCCCATTCAACAATTCCTGCAGCATACACAATAGCATGCTTACGAACCTGAACATCACGGGTCTGAGAGTGGAAATGGCCAGAGACACCGCTCGCCATGTGAAAAAGACGCTCCCTCCATCTCTAAGTGGCTTCCCGGGCATGGCCGACATCAAGTACTATGTGAAAGCGACGGTTATTCGTCCACAGTTCTACAAGGAGAACATCAGGGCGGTATGTTGATTTTTTACGAGCGATCGCTGCGATAAGACGATAATCCGCAGCATTCCATGCTGATAATTGGCTTCTAGGTCACCAACCTAAACTTCCTTCCCATCGAGCCTCCCAGGACAGGCAACCCGAGCGAAGAAACTTATGCAAGACGACAACACCAGTTCACAAATGCCCCGAATGTGTCCAAAAAAAGAAGCCTATTCTCGAAGATGTCGAGCAGTTCGCTCCGGGATGCCGCGGGCGGTTCCCCTCGCGTATCCGCTGACCTGCGGCTACCCAACCCGTCAATCCTGACCTGCAATGAGCCTATACCAATGCGTGTTCTCGTCAAGAAACTGTCAGAGTCTTATGAGACCATTTTCTTGCAGATGATACAGGTTGAGCTGATTTCTTACACAAACATTATTGCTCATGACTTACGGCGCACCGAAAGCGGCACCTGGGTCATACTAAGTCAGAGTAATATGGCTGTACCTCTGGGAAGAGGCGGAGACCCAGCGGACTCGGAGTGGACGATCGACGCTGGTTTATGGAATGGCATACCTCTGCCCAGCACGGTAGCGCCGTCATTCGAGACCTGCAATGTCTCACGGACGTACGAGCTCGAAGTTCGAGTGGGCCTGACTCATGGAAGTGTTGGCAACATGAAGGTGAGTTCTTGGCTGCACATTTCTGGACGCTTTGCTCACAACCAGTAGCCTCAACTTATCGTTCTTCCGCTGCGGATGCCCGTGAAAGTTTACTCCGGAATTGCTCCCCCGAAAGCGCTTCTGGATGCCATGGCGGCCAACGGGCAGGCCAAGCCAGCGGCTAGCCCTACAAGTCCCACCGGATCGATGGATAGTAGTACACGCCCCCCAATGCCGCCTCGGCCTGCTAGACCACCTATGCCTGCCAACCCTGAGGACGGTTACGACGATGCACCTCCCAGTTACGAAGATGCCATGGCTGAAACTCTCAGCCCTGTGGATGGCCCCCGTCGAGAGTATAACCCACCAGATGCCTCTTCCGAAAGATCTGTTGAACCTGGAGCTGATCCGCGATCTCCAGTTGGAAAGGAACCTGAGGCGTCTGCACCCTACAGCAATCAGGAAGCGATGTCCTCGTCGGAGACACTCGATATGCTGCCCGAAAGTCCGCCAGAGTCCCGTTCTGGTTCGCCCCCAAATTCTCCCGTTGCGCGTCAACAAAGCGTGCTCAAAATCCACAAGGCTCCCCTTCTCCTAGAGGAGGATAGCCCTCCCGAATATCAGACGATTGCAGCTGGCAAGCCTCAACCATCCCATAGCCAGGTTAATCGTGTTCCGTCCCAGCCGGGGGCCAGGCCCATGAACCTGGGCGTTCCCAGCAGGAAGCCAGTTCCCCGGAGTCCAAGTAGGCAAACGTGAAGTTTGCATCATAACGTGCTTTCTATGTTGCAGCTGGGTGCATCTAATGAAAGAGCGCTCGACTATTGAACGATTTTTCAATACAAAGTCAAAAATGCCCGTGTCGTTGCATGCATCTTTCCGGAGTTAACAGGAAACCTCGATGATGAAAGTCCATGGATTTTGCTTTGCTCTTCGATACCACCTGATGCATTTTCACTATTTAATAATGGCGACTTTAACTATCCTAATCTCTTTACGTTGCAACCCTATTCACTAAAATATTTTAATATGAGATTTATAATGGAATTGGCATATAAATCAAGCTATAGCGTGACCGTAGTGAATCTGATTGATGCCTTAGGTGTAACGACCGAACAGGCTTAGCCCGGCCCAGCATCCGCGCTGCTGGTCGCCGTCACACCTGCAGTTTCCTCCCGTCACATTTCTACTTTCTCTGGTTCACGCTTTCCACTCTTCGATTTATTAGATCTTTGCTGTGTTTCTAGCGCTCAAGATGTGCTTGTTGTGATCTTGCTTTCAGCTATAACCCCTTCGTGCGGTTTTTCATTACCTGTACTCATACCTCCGACGCGACAAGCAAGTCGGAAAGCATCTCGCCGTCGGCAAGCATTAACGCGACGGTTTCCTGCATGACTTTGTTTTGCTTTTCGCCATTATACTAAATAATTCTAATGAGCTGTTGCTAGTGCGACTGGTCCGAAGCAACAGGAGAGGAGCATTAATCAGAATCTACAAGCATTCCATCCACCATGCGTCTCCATCTTATTATCCAGCGCCACGGCCTGCCCGTCACGCGCATTCTTTGGACAACGTCACCGCCGTCTCTTTTCGGCCATAATGCGCCCAGCGCTTCGTCCATGCTTCCTGCCGCATCTTCTGCGCTGACTTCGACGCGTGCACCTAATGCGCTGTATTCCAATGGCGGGTACACGATCGCACAGCTCCTGGAGGATGTGAATGAGGTTATCCCGCTTGAGACGGAACCAGCTTTGTTTGATACCGAGTGCAGTGGACAGTGGGGTCTCGAGGATTATGTGGTTGAGGTTGGGGGCTCGGAATGTTTGCATTTTATGGAAGTAGAAGGCTTGTTGCGGGACGGTGATGAAATCTTGTAAGTGGTTGTCTCCCTGCCGGTTGCCATTGACCTGGCTCTAGCAAATTTTGCTCTTGGATTGAATCTCATCGATTTCTTGATAGGATACGCGCCCTTCAAATCTCAGACCTTCGAGCCAGGCGACTTTCCGGTCGCCATCAAATATCTTCCGACGGCAAACACCTCATTGATGGAGTCCCGTTTGGGAAACCATTCTTGAAAAGACCTACGTCGTCAAGACCCGCAATCACGATCCCACCGAGAAAGAAAAGACGGACTAGCGCTGCAGGGTGGGACTATGGATCGCGCTACGAGGAGGAAGATACAGAATGGGCGCCAAATAATCAAGTAGGCTTTGCGAGAGAGCTTCCTGTAATCAGCTCGAATGAGCAGCCGCAGGAGAAGAAGGGTGATGATTACACCGATGCTTACCAGGATGATTACGAGGATTACCACGAGCCTGAAGAGGATGGTAATGGGACAGTCATCCGGCATGCTGTTGACGAGACACATGATCAAGCTTCGGAAAGTGGCTCAGATGAGTCGAACATCAACCCTGAAGACTTGGTAGAAGAGCTAAAGGGACTTGAGGAAGATCTGGAGATATCCCCTATGCCTCTGGCGGAAGACGTTGATATCGAGCAAACGGGCTATTCGCTGCGCTCCAGACCCAGTATCCATCAACCGGCCCCGAGAAAGAGCTCCCTTGCGCACCCCCCTAGCCAAGAGTCTTTGAATCCGGACTGTACTCGCAGGGATTCAAAGGCAGTGACATTTGAAGACCAGAAAGCGAAGCCGTCCGTCTTGGAATCGAATGCTACCGTTGCCAGCAAACCGATCTCAATCCCAGAGGATCTAACGGGCTCGGCTTCAGGTACGAGCGATAGCAGCTCATCTGCAAGCGATACGAGCGAGACTAGCGACTCTAGTGACTCAGACGATTCCAGCAATGCAAGTGATTCGTCTTCTGACGAAGACTCGCTTTCTGGATCAGAAGCTTCTACATCTGAGTCAGAAGAAGACTCAAGCTCCGACTCTGATGAGGACATGTCCACATCTGAATCAGAGGATGAGCTTTCGGACTCTGATGTAGATGTGCAGATGCGCACGAAAACCAATCCTCCGGGAGCAGGCTCTTTGAGAACCAAGAAGAGCAATGAGCGTAACAAAATGCGACGCAGGTTAGCAAAGCTAAAAGAGCTTGGTGCCCTGCCTGCACAGGCCGATTTCGCTGCTCTCCGTGACTGGGAAGAGGCTAACGGACGTTCATACTACATTCCTGAGGACAAGCACGATATCAAAGAACAAGAGCGGGCGGAATTCGAAGCAAAACGACAGAAACTGCTCCGTGATCTTGAATCGGGGGGAGTCGATGTCACTGAGGCAAGGCAAAAGGAAGTTGCATCCCCACAGAGCGTCAAGGCTACCGGCGACACACGGCCTGCAACCGACGTTGCTGCTGATGAAGATGAAGCTAGGCCACCTTCTAAGCGACGTACTCTCGATGTTGCCAGCTCCAGGAGGATGCTTTTTGGCTCACTGGGGGTGAGAACTCCAAGAACCAAAGAAGACGAGGAGGCTACTCGGAAGAAGCTTGCAGGCAAGGTGAACAACCAAATTCCACCCCCAAAGTCCCCGAAAGAGGATGCGGTCAAAGCGCCTGAAAGCGATTCGGATGAGAACTGGCAAGACAAGTTGATCCTCCGGGCTACTGAGTGTATTTATGACGACATTGAGCTGACCGCTCCGCCATTCCCCTTCGAACAACGCTGGGACGCTGAAGCTGGTGATCTCATCAGACAGCGTAAAGGCTGGGGTAAGAAGAGAAGACGGCGGCAGCAGCTTCAAGTTTACGATGGGGAAGAAGAATATGGAAATGGCGATTACGGCTATTCCGTGGGGGGTTACTCCGTGGACGATCTACAACTAAACTACGATGATGCCGAGCAACCGAATGGAGACATGGAGGGAGTGGAGCATGCTGCAGAGCAAGCCGTAGAGGACCAAACTGAAGATTCGGCAGACGACCTCCCTGCTCTGCCCAATGACCCAGCCTCTCTACAGGACATGGGCGTGGATGGCTTGAAGAAGGGCTCGATCATTGCTTTCCGACAGCTGGAAATTTCCAAGGCTACAAGCTGGCAGCCCACGGTCTCCGGATACCGAGTGGCCAAGATCCACGAAGTCTTTGAACACGATATCCTCAAAATTCGGCTAGCCAAGCGTGACCGACGACAGGCACGGGATGACCAAGATTGGGATGAGGAAAATGATAGGCCGCAATATAGTGGATTTGAAATGCCCGGGATGGACGAAGAGGAGGACGACGGCTTCCGGGAGTTGTCATTTGCCGACCTGATTGAACCCAAGCTTCTCCGATCTGCCGACACTGCAGGTCTTGGGAATGCTGGGAAATCCAGCATGTCAGTACACTAATTTCCTTACACTCGTCTGGCGTTCCTGCGCTCACCCGACCAAGCTCCCGTGCCATAGAGGAGCCCAGTCCAAACGAAATCGAGGCCACGCGTGAGAACGAGGACTGTCAGCCACCAGTGCGAGATGTGGAAAGGGAAGGTACTAATCCTGATGAGATGTCAACAAACCAAGAGCCTATTGACCGCACGGGAGGCCCGGCCATGCACTCTAGCCCCATCAAGTCACCGCATTTTGACGGGTTTCATTCGCCTCCCGCGGAGATGACAACCGGATCGAAAGGTAGCCTTGAGGACCAGGTGTCCAGATCTACCCCTCCGGCAGGACAAGACAGCGAGAATGGCCGGAACGGTCGACAACCGGAGGATGCGCCCGAGATCAAGGACCCTCCATCGACCTTGCACTCGATGCTTCTCCCCGATGACGCCCATGAAGGTGGTTCTGCGGCCAACGCGTCGGAAGATGATCCCCAAATGATCAGTAGCCCCGTGAGTATGATGTCTTTCAACTGCCTGATGGAAACATACTTTCCCCCGGCGGTCAAGAGAGAGACATCCGCCGCACCTGCCAAGGAAGAGCCTCGGTCGCCTTCACAGTCATCGGCCTATTCCATTGTCCCTAATCCCTTCTACGAGATCGACAAGGCCGAGGAGGAACGACAGCGACGACAGGCGTCTCGCAAGGGGCGGCGCAGTAGCAACGCCGACGGTGGAAACGGGACGATGGAGCTCATGTCCCTAGCGGGATCGGTGTCTCCCGTACCAAGACCATCTCCCCGAGTGAAATCACCGGCGGTGCAGGAACCATCATCGATCAGCGTTGTCCCGGAGAGTGTGCCGCAGCCTCACCAAGACGATCCAGAGCCATCACAACTTTCTGAGGTGGTGGACCTGACACAATCGAGCCCGCCGGTATCCCCGGGAGGTAGTGATGAAGACTATGCGCGCTCACATCGCCTTCCCCGAGGGTCCGGATGGGTACAGAAGAATATTCCTCGAACCCTACGGGTGACGCGACGATCAATGGGCCGACGAAGGAATGGAAGCAGTTGAGATGACAGTAGATGGGTTTGGTTCGGGGGTTGTATGGATGTAGGGGGTGGATGTACATGCTGTTGTTTGTAAATATGATGATTCCCTACTGTGTATAATCCTTCCGGAGGATCCACAGGGTAATGCATGATGAGTTTCGTTTGTCGTAATGGCTTGTCTTTCGGAATATCTACTACTTGTTCTGAATTCATTGCATAGTCCTGGAGGTCCCCACCTGGGAGGTGGATGAGCCCCACTCGCCCGGATCAGTCTGACAAAACACGAGCGCTGATTGGCGGAGAAGGGGTCATGGCAGCGACGTCATTGACGTTGATTGAAGGACGAACCGGGAAGGCACGACGACTTCAACATCGAAGGCGCGACTTGGTGTATTGTTATTCTGTGTATTGGATGTTATTTTGGACTGTTTCCATGGCAGTTCCGTCGGAATGGGGCGGGCTTCTTTATGTCATGGTCCTCCTACTTACCAGGTAGCAGTGAATGACTGCCGATAGATAAAGCTCCCCAATGCCATGGCATCATGAATTGATGGTTACTATTACTTCAAGTTCTTTACTAGCTTGCTTACTATTAGTTAGTTGCCTTTGCGTGCTTGCTTCCTCCTGATTCATTAATTCCATTCAAAAGCCATACCATCTTCCCCCCCCTCCCTCTCCATGCCCCGACCCCTCCTCCTCCCTGTTGCTGCCCGTCAAAGCTTCTTCCTTCGTGC